CATGCCAACTCAAATCATAAATGATATCGGCTACAAACGGGGTCACGATTTGAACGATGAAGTATACACCGAGAAAGATAATGTCGACAACTGATTGGTTGACGAGATACAGCTGGGTGAGCGTTTGCATAAAATGTACCCTCCATACAACGAAAATGAACAAAGCGTTTAAAAGCAGTCCCACGGGGCAGATGGTACAGGCGAGGAGGATGTGAGTGACGGCGGTAAGCGCGGAATCGGATAACATCGATTCATCCCCGGTCATCAGACACCATTCGTCGCACTCACCTTCGGTGTAAAGTTTTGCGACGCACTCATTTTCAAGTAACTTGTCACTTACATTGTACATAAATGCGTCGGAAATCTTTTCATAAATGACAGGCAAATATAACGAATGCATTGTATTATTTTCCGTTGCAAGGTAAATAATATAAATAATTTCATAGACGATTGATATGTATTCGATTTTACGTGTGTCCTTTTGTGAACTCTTAATCGTACTGTTGTGGATAAATGGAACAACTTGACACCGGACCGCTCCTTCCGAGTACTTCTAAGATTAATTACCAAATCAACGTAAGACTGTTTCAAAAATATGCTATTGTATATCTGAAAATCCATTATGGAAAGAAAATAATATAATAAAAATAATATGCATTTTAATAATATGCACGCCCATACTTACCCCTTGGACGGAACGTACCTAACCACTGACCATCATCAAATAGTACGATTTAAGTAGTAACAGCGGGGGCGTTTATCTGATGGTCATGGATCTGTGGGTCAGATACAACACTTGGGGTGTGTATTAAGGTCGTGAAGGATTGCACAAACGTGATTGTATACCTCCACCTCAATTACGTTGACAGGAATGTACGGCACATTGGTTTGCATGCTGACTTACATTGGCAGAAACGCGTACTATATTGGACGTGTTATTAGATTTGAGACGTAATACCACCATTATGATATGCTACGAATCTGAATACGTTGTTAACGTTATTTTCGAAAAACAACGGAATTAAAATTGACTATAGTAGATTGATACATCTCGAATGGTTAATTGAAGTGATAATGAGGTTTGATAATTACATCAATGCTCAACTTGAAGTACGCCCTCTTTATGAGATCTTCGTTTTTTTTCAGACCACTTGTTGAATTCTATACACCTCTTCATATTTGTCAATATTTATGAGTATTTTCCATGTTCCTGGAAACAATTTATAAAATCTATTATAAAAGTCGGGGAGTCGCACGATATGACTAGCTTAATATAGAGTCTCATTTGCATAAATTAAAATTCACGAGCAGTGAAAAAATCGCAAAACGCGTGTTAGTTATAAATTGACTGATTCTATCACTGCCATGCGAGCTGAAAATTAATCGAAAAATGATGTAAAATTGTTTTGATGAGACAGAGTCAAGCAAACTGTTAGAAGTAACCACAGAGTTTTCTCTTTAACGTGATTATAGAAAGTTACGATATTCATGGAGAACGCAGAGGCACGTTGATATTTCACTCTTTCTAGCGCAGTTTGAAATGAAACAGTTCAAGTTTTGAAAGCAATAAAATCACGCAAAGAAGTCACACCTGCAATAAACTAGTGGCACCGTATTGATTGTCCGTTGAATTGTTTTGACAGACACAATTTTAGGGACTGTATATTTCTACCCAATGTTTCTAAGTTTCGTTGAGGATTATTCTGTAAAGAAATCACTGAAATGATTTCATCTATCCGTAAAAGTGATTGCTTCGACGATGACCTACGGACGACTGACTTCTATTCTATTCTATTCTATTCTATTCTATTCTATTCTATTCTATTCTATTCTATTCTATTCTATTCTATTCTATTCTATTCTATTCTATTCTATTATATTCTATTCTATTCTATTCTATTTTAATTGTTTTGTTATGAACAAACGTTAAATAAAAAAAATGTAAACAAATCTATGTTAATTGTTTTGTTATGAACAAACGTTAACTAAAAAAAATGTAAACAAATTATGGATGGAAGAAAATTAGTCTATCCCCGAGAAAACTTTCAGTCTAAGGTCGTGATATGTCATCCGAAACGTTAATCTTCGAGTTGTTGACACTGTTTTAGAATACAAATAAAAATTAAATTAAAATTTTGAACCACGTAAAGCCGTCGAAGCGTAACTTAGTGGAGTAATTAAATAATGAGCCAGGAAGCCCATTGTAACCAATAAAATTACAGTTTGAAAACGTCATTGTTTGCCTAGCCGCCAAGCTAACTCATTACCTATTCAATGAGGGCAAACGTTGCCATTGACGACGGCAATTGTTTGATTTCTAACGCAGGCAGACAGTAGGGGTAAAGTCGGCAATTTTTACCCGCTCATTCAGAGACGGTTGTTTGTAGTTTGTTAGGTGGTAGTCCATAGAATAATGTCGCAAGTCGGTGTACAGTCGCGTCCGGCGACCCAGATGAGCCAGGTGAAAATAGGAAATTTGCCTGAGATACAACACCCGCTGTCTAGACTCGGAAACCCAGAGAAGCTTAACATTCGGGGACTTTCAAGTCGGGCAGGCGAGAGACCCTCGTCGAACCCAGCTCCCCGACCAGCCAGCGAACTCCCGTTTCATGTCACCCCACGCATGTCCAGATCTGCCACTGGAAGAGAAGTCTTGCACGAATCGTTGGATCTTAAAAAAGTCTTACCGCGAATACCGGGTCCATTTTCCCCAACAATTCCAGAAGGGGTGGAATATAACGTCGGAGACCCCGACAAGACAAAACTCCCAGTTTTCGGTGAGTATTAAGTATCCGCCATGATGGTTATTTTCTGATAATAGCATGTGTTCGTAAAACAACACGGGCAAACATTTCGTCAAATACTCCCGACAACATTGAGCCGTCTGCTGCAGCTCCGTCCACGGCGAAATCCTTAACAACCATACATTTCGGGTGGCAAAGTTTTATTTATTTATTACACGGTATAACACATAATAACACACCAATTAAATGTCTAGCTGCCGTGTTTTATTTGTCTTAATAATAAAAAGTGTGGAGACAATCTATATATGCGGGAATTGATCTAAACTGCGACAATAAGCGTTGATCCGTTGACGTGTTGCTGTATACTTTGAACATTATTCAAACCATAGTCCATACTTTGAACTCTTCGTATTTACTCGTCACACTGATCGATCGATATCAGAGGGGGCTCGAGCATTAGTAGCTACGCCCGGTGTTTGGTGTGGAAAAACGTAGCTTAAATCAAAATCCCCTGTGTTTGGTCAGATCAATAAAATACGGGGGTATATTATAGGATGACTAATCACCGCGGTTGTTAAGTTGGTTCGTAGAAACGCAACAATGTTTAAAACTTGAGAATATTGAATGATATGGTTTCATCTCATCAATGTCACGGTCTGAGGTGAAATGATATTGACAAAAACAGCGGGGTTACTGCGTCAAAATTGTGCTTTTTATTCTACGGATGTGACATTAGTGAAATATATACGAGACTACGAGAGGTCAAAGTTCAGCATTCCGAGTGTAGCGTTACGTCGTGTTGCCATTGTTGGCAACTCTGCTTACGTAGCGACGGACCAACTCGTAACACTGAGTGTTTTCAACAAACTGCGCTGCATAGAAGAGATCCTTATTATGCTAACAACAAACAATTCCATATAGATCCTCTGACAAGTCCACTGGGCATGACATCATGCTTATGTCCATTATCAGCAGTCACCCATGCCAAGAACAGTAAACAAACACGTTCATTAACAAATAATGAGCAGTTTCTTTCTCGATAGCCTTAAACAGTCTATTGCCAAATTATAAGGATACTCACGATATTTACGTTTTTATTACGACCCGACTAATTTATTAACTATGTAAACCACACGGTTGTTAATTTCACCGTGGAGCTCGCACTGGATGTTTATAACATGTTGAAATCTACCAAATTTGCATACGCTATGTACATGGATACGCACGGTTACTTTGTTGTTGTGAATTATAGTGCCCATGCTGCTTCAGCCGCGTACAATCGCCTTGTCGCTACTTTAAATGAATTGATGGCTATAATCGTCGGGTAGGGATTTGGATGGCCACGGTTACTGTACAACAAGAACTGACACAGTAACCACATACTCAAACTGATATATCGAAATTGAACACTCAATAAAAAAACAGTAAACATACATTATTTTTTTCCTAGGCAATAACGAGCCTCCGTTTTCTCGTTGATTCACGTTACTAAGGCACAATTAAGCACGCATGTCTCCGTTAATTAAAGCGTATATTTGAATTATGATAATCGTCAACGTATTCATAAGACAAGTGTGCAAGTTATAATATTAATTCTAGTAATGGTCGACTGCAGCAAGAAATGTACGTTCGGCCTCACCGCTAATGGTTCAGTTGTTTTTGTTTACGCGAAACCGTTTTTACGTAACCAAACAATTGCCTGTTAGACACCTGTTTGAGTCACACATTGGTTAACACGTCGTTACATTATCCACTGAATACAATCGGCAACCAAACAAAAGAAGGCGTGAGGCGTGTAGCTGTCAATAAAGACAACTTATTTTAATTAGTTGAATTATCTCGGCATATCTGCCCGCGTAATTGCACTAACCATCCCATAATATTTAATAATTTCATTCATTAATATTTTATGAAATGTACATCAGGTTGCCAGACGCATTATCGGATATTTAATATTCATCGACCATTTTAAATGCGGTATGCCGGAAATGTTTTGTATTTGCATATTTGCTATAGTATGAACGTTATGTCACTATAACTACAATTCATGTCAATTGATTGACGTGGTTGATGTGGATTTATTCGCGAAGTGCTGCTTGAGAAAGACCGTCTTTATTACAGCGAACATATATTTGCCGTTGTTTATAGTTTTAGAATATTATAAAGCGAGGTTTCAGTCATAAGGTTGCTGTCATGCCAGATACCGATGTTATTATCATTCTACCTTTGAACTTGACACAGTCACGTATTGATGTTGTGAGAACCTTAACAACCACACGTGCACAGAGAGCGGTCAATCATTACAATCGTAGAGTGACATTTATTGCTTTTCAAGCTCATTAACACTTGGAGATAAAATCATGTGATTTTCAAGTTATTGTATTCGGACTCAGAACGGCGTAATGATGACCTTCAACTACATTCTGTGCAATATACAACGACACAGTCATTTCTGAACTCATTGACATCCTTAGAGATCCTTGCGACACGATCAACTGACTACAGATAATTGTTATCGATGATTGCAGAGATTACACCCTTTGTAAAACAATTCCCACTTTGTTCGATCTGTCCGGTAAAAACTAAAATATATGGTGAGATGATGTTGATGACATTGATGACAATGTTCTAATTCCTTCCCATGAGTTATTGATAACAACTGTACTCCTTAAAATGAATTATGAATATAAACGATGCTATTTTATTCCGATAAAAAACTAAGATACTCGAGATGGTGATGTTGGTAACGCGGGTGTCTCTATGTCGTGTACCATGCACCTAGAAGCGTACTAGGTTTCTATTTTTATTGTGTCTTTCTACCACTGAACGACTCAAATTCGTTTACTGGTACGGCAAACGTGGATATGAAGTATAACAGGAACATTGCGTCCATGACCCGCGAGACTTTTGGCAATCAATTACCTGTTTGCGATAGATTGAGCAGCTACCCAATCAATCAATCAATCAATCAACTAAACAGCTCGTCTGTCTGTCTGTATGTCTGTCTGTGAATAGCACAGCAACACTTCGCGGGAGAAGAAAACTGTATTTACCCTAGAGGCTGAAGTTCAGGCAATATTTGTTCATTCAATCCCACAATTTGTGTACGGCGCATAAAACGATGTGTGAGTGGTGTATTATAAGGAAGACACATTTTTTGTTTAGGTTTCACATCCCAAGAGCTTATTATATAGTGAATGCGGCGATTATTACAGCCAACACATACATGGTCACGGTGGTAAGTGTGCTCGGCATGACAGGCGTAAATCTGGGTCTTAGAATCAATATAAATAACTGTAAATAACCACGGAAACGCCACACATCATAATAATAGTCGTTGCCATCTTATACCCCAGTGTTTAACTCTGACTCCGGTTACTAAGCAACACTTCATTTATTCTTCGTGTTTTAACTGAATCATCAAATATTTGAGGTGGAACCAATTTAAAACATCGATGTCACAATCGCTCGATTCAAACATTGCACGTCGTTACAAGACGGGTTTTAAACGACAACATGTGAATTGGTCTGGTTATATCATAGCTATTACCAACTCTGACGTTAAGTGGTGACCGTGTCACGCCCGCGAAGGGTTCACTCACTACGCCGTCCTATTTAGAACGCGCTGAGATCTGGCTGTTATTATTAGCGTAATATGTCACATGACGAGTACGTTCCAAGTGGCATTATATTTCAGTCTATTCAAATATAAAGCTGGATTCGCTCTGTAAACATTTCTGGCATTTACAAAAGAGCAAGTGCATCTGCCTCTGTGATTGTTCATTCTTTGGAGGGCCTGGGGTTTTCTTATTTCATTCCTCTAGAGAGGGTTTCTGGGTGCAGCCGAGGTTAAGGCTCACACTACAACTAAACTCCCCACAGACGATAATGTAAAAACTTGAAAAGCGGAGTTATTATACACATACAAAACTATACAAAATTAAGAAAAAAAGTGGTCTGTCTCGTTCAAATCAAATAAAAAAAAATGTTTTGTTCCCCAATTTGAAAGTAAGCCGTTTGAACCATATAGTGTCATGGACCTACCATGGTAGGTCCATAATAGTATTGGCAATATTCGCTGACTCACCACTTTAAACTAAATGATTAAGTCCACCATTTTAATACCAGCTGATACCACGAGTAGAATGTACCCAGAAGTAAAAGTAATGCAATTTTTTTGTGTAACATTTCATCTTAAACGAACGAAGAAAATGAAATAAGAATATGAGTACACAAATTATATTTAGTGTCTTATAATGTTACAGTAATTGTCACGTCTAGACGTATTAAAAATTGCATTATTATGGTGGGTTTAATGACAAAATATGGTTCATTATGGTCTACGGGGACCGCTGTTAAATTGCCATTTTATGCATATTATATTTAAAAAAAAATAAACAGATTGACAGTGAATTGAATAATTCAACATAGCGCTGGTTCCTAATTATGTATATAGATTTTGACACAACTAATTGCAACTGTTATATGTATTTAAATATGTCAAACACTCATGGTGTCATTCTACTTAAATTAAAACAGTTTGAAATACAAACATGTTTTTCCTTGCATAACTATTTTCAATATGAAGAGGCTTACATATGAAACTTTTAAGTTGGCGGAATGCATAGGTTGTGGGTGCTTATGTTGGTCTAGAGTGTTCGTGGTAATACACAGGCGGTTGTTTGTGTTTCGGAAAACAAAATAATGAATTAAAAGTATTAAGTTTCAGTGCTTATCGATGTCTAGAATTACATTCCATGTATCTTTCAACGTGCTTGACCACGAGGTGGTTGACATTTTCTATGGGTCTATGCCGGTGTATACAGAATTAGCCTTATTGAAATGAACATAAAAAGGTTAATCAAAGGAATTAAATAGAAACGTGGGGTATTGTGAAAATTGTGCGAGGAGACATGCCCGTAGTGCGCAGTCTCAATACATCCCACGAGATTGGTGACGCATGCCTGGCAGCAAAGCTAAACAAAGTCTGAGTGCATTTTAATACGTGTACTACAGGGCGAATGTTGTCTCTGGTTTTATTGTCCACAATTTACCCTGCACATACACAAAAGACTGGGCCAGGCGAACACGGTGTAATGATCAAAGAAAACTCGTTGTTTTCTTAATGTATCTTGACTACTAGTACGAAGAGGCCATCACAATAACGAGGTTTCAGCGAAATTAGAAGTTGTTTTCACTGTATCGATAAAAGTATGAGAAGACCTGTTTCCATAGATACGATGACACGGGTCAACACCTGTATTCGTAATGGACACGATGTAAGCAAACTTGACACACCACAAAGGGTGGGAAAGTGTTGTGAGTCCCTAGGGCTATTGTTATGTGTTTTCCATTTGATCAGCGACGCGAGACTTTATTTACATATCTACTGTGCAATGCCAAATCTTTGCCCCTTTTTGGTACGCTTGGTAACTTGGTATAATCCTTGTTGCACCGAAGGACAGTACAAACCACACCGTTTTCTTATTTGAAGCTTAACAGGGAGATTTGTTCAGGAGTCTACTGCCTCATACTATACCGACACTCAGATAATCAAAAGAGCTCAAACGCGTCACTTGACACAGTGTCACCTGTTGCGACAAAGCGTCGCGTATTGTCGTCATGGTTACCCTAAACACAGATCGGTTGGAACCTGGCGTAGACGTCCTGCGAGATTTGCAAAAACAGACCACTAGATTCTGCGATAATGACCGTCAATTGCGATGCCGTCGCGATTGAAACTCCCGTGATATCGCACAATGGGTGAACTGACCGAGATGACAGGAGCGTCGAACAGTCTGATAAATTAAATGAAAGCCATATTACATCCAATGTGTATCGCCCCAATCAGTAAAAGTAACGACGGCTTCGTGTGCTTGTTAAATCATGGCAATGTTGGTGTTTCATTATGGCCACTTTCACCGAAATTTACATCAGTCACAAATTACATCCTACACGCATCAAGTTCCGCCAACTAGTCTTTTATTTTGTATGAACAAATCAGTTGTGATACTTTCAGTTATCTTTGATAACTAGTAATTAGTATCCGCCTATTTTAAACGCGACTATATATGGACCCAGCCGATTGAAAGTAACTATTCAAAGTTAGTAATTCTACACCACTAATGGACAGGCAGTTAACTATGGCAATTTTTTTCCCTTGACTGAAGCGTAATGGTATACAATATACAGTAGTATACAAGCACAAGTTCATTGAGTTTAGATTCAAAGTCCTTTATATCTGTTCCAATTCAGGTAATCAAGCATATGTAGCTTCATATTGAACTACCGTGACATGAAAGTCCCCTGAAGTCACGAATTTTAGTGAGTCGAACTTGGTTATTGGTACTGATTTCGGGTTTTTCTCCTTCAATTATTTGGAGTATATGTAAAACCATGGGGTTTATAGTTCCATGGTAAAACTATTTTAAACATATCATGACGTTTTTAGTCACCACCACAAGTAGTCTTATTTTCAAGATTCCGTTTTCCACCCATGATATATCGATACATATTTACTGCCGTTATCACAGGAAAGACGATACATCGTAAAGCCATCTTGTTATTAACTAACTACATGACTGTATATGATTGCGTTTGACAAAACATACAACATGGAGTCAATTTCCTTTGCATTGTTCAGTTGATTTCGTTTACTACCTGTTCGTTTCCGCCATTACCATAGTTGCTAGGCGACGGTAAATAAATCCCATGTCATGAGAGCCTTGTCTCAACATATCAGGTGGTATATTAGACTCGTCTTTGAATGTTTCAATCATCGTTAATTTTCGTAAGTCGTGAAGGAATATTATCGATTTTTCGTTTGTGACATCAATCTTCCGTAACTAACAGCCATTGTGTCAAGTTTATAGAAACACAGACAGCTCATGCTTACAAGCTGGGGTTTCCAGAACAGATAGTTTTGTTTTGGATTATATTCTCGTTAAATTGCATTTTATCGCACATCGTAAATTAACACTTCAAGTTAGGGTTAATTCAAAACGGTTCTCTCAATCCGATCACGAGATACAGTAGATGTCGTCTGTTGGGTTTGGGTCGTTAATAGAGGAATTGATCGCATCACATTTGCGTTTTATTGACGTGTTGGTTTGATACATAAAACACGAGTTCAATAAAAGCACGATTGTTTCAGTTGTAATTTATCGATGCATCACACAATAAATGAAATTTCTTCAAACGTTAATTTTTTGGGTTTTGAAAATGGGATAAGGAAATTACCAAATCACAACTAAAAATAGATAAGGATTGTCTATTTCGAAACCAGCGAGCTTTACTATTTTAAGAAGAATACAATAATTATTTTTGTTTTACGGAGCAGTCTGAGGACAAATTTTGAGGGAATAAGAAGAAGATATGCGTTGTCACGTAGATGTGAAAAGCAATTGCAACTACCTCCTGGATTGTATTCGGGTGACTTGTTTATCCGTGTAAAACCTCCATGGTGCAACAGCAAAATTTGATTGCATTTTGTGAAACAAAGTTTGAATTATTCATCAAGACAACATGAATTACACTAGTAATTGGGTCAGTATATATTAGTATGCAAAGCACGTCTCCTATAATGTTAATGTTTAGCGGGCTTCTTAGTTGCGGCTTGATGAACAATACCCATGATGCATCGTGCCCTTAGCTTAGCTTAGCTTAGTAAAATACTGATATACCAAACAAGAATACTCAATAAAACTATATCTTCACTCAGTGGGCACAATGAATGTTTGAGTAGATCCTACTTAGTGGCCTCAGTCGATATATTCAAAGATTAAAAACAGCTGGGAGTAATCTGGTGGGTACCGTCGTTTCAGTTGGAGGAGCCTGAGTGTGATATTTCCAGACCCCAATATAGTAAATATATTTTGGATATCAGTGAACCTGCATGGTCGATTATTTCACTGCTCTGCTGTGTTTAAATATTAATACAATACTATTAGTACCGGATTCGTCACGGGGCGGTCATTTTGTATGTTACTGGATGCTCTCTGTAGGTTGATTAATGTTGAATAATTTAAACAAGCAAAACAATTGTTTTTGTGAGTTGTTATAATAAATAATAATAAAATATATTTTCCAATCTACAGGTGCGAGAGCAGATTTACAAAGTCGAGCAGAGAGCCGTACAGGCGTGGTATCCAGGGCTTCGTCGAGACCAGATACAAGATTTAGACTTGAAGTTGATGAGGTGAGTTCATTTAGGTGTATTCTATGTGACCGTTGATGGCGATGTTCTTGACTTTATTCCTAGACCTGGCATACATTGAGGACGATATTTCAACAGCCATCATGTTAAAAAATCGTATTCTGATGAAATGTTTATGCCAAGGACCAAAAAATCCAGATGTCATTGTATAGTGGTTAAATACATTCACGCTTTGTAGAAATACATGTATCTAAATAGATGTGAAGATGGGATACTTTCAGCCAGTTTGTTTCTCACTGACCGACTATAAATAAACAGACTATGGCTCTTTATTGCACTTGATATGTATTTGAGATTTGGACAAAACTTCATGGACCATTATACCTCATTTTAATAATGAGTGCTTTCCTGAAGCATTCGTGTACATTTCCAACGGAACGTGGCCCAGAGTTTGTATTCCACGACCATACTATCCACATCTTCCAATGATGTCACTAAATCGATCTTTCCATCCATCCAACAGCTCGAGATTCTTCTCCGTGAGAAAGCAAAGCGCGGATACTATGAATTGCGGAAACTTTTCGTCTCGAACGACCCAGAAGGCAAAGGTACAGTTAGCAGGGACGCTTTGCACCGAATCATTACGATATTTGTGGGACAATTTGTAGGACCCAAACAGTTCAACCATCTGATGGCCAGGTAAGCGCATCCATCAAACTGATTGTCATGTACACTTTGGAAGAGCGATACCAGCATTGGTATATTTCACGTTAAATAGATTCTAAACGAGAATGACCGCCAAGATTTCACTGAGAGCGGGAGAACCACGAGACTTACTTTGGCCTTCAAATACGTCCACGTTAGCGTATCAGAATTTTATTTACAATTGAGGTACCGGTCATTATTCTTGGGTGGGTGGGGGTGGGGTGTTTTAGGCAAATGTGACGTATCTTCCATAGCGGCATGTGTATAGAACACTATGATAAAGACTGTCCGTTTTCCGTCGAACATTGTGACATTATATTTATGGAGAAAAATACAGTATCAAATACATTTTCACCAGTCTGAGATAAAATTATATTTATTAAAACCACATGAATTGTTGAACACACTACATATTTTTTTAATTTATTCAGCTGATTTCAGTCATAATTCAAGATAAATGAAATGAAAAAATATAGAGAATATACCAAATTATGTTTTGCTTTAATATTCACGGGTAATCAGTAATTATGGAAATTATTATTGGTGTGCACATGAAATATTTTAATATATTCCCTTGAATCTACTTGTCATACTCAGTTGTTTTCAAAACCAAAAGAATTTCACAATAGCAAAAACGGAAATTGATTTCCCTTGTTCGCAGGTGATTCTTCGTTACTTCGTCTTAATGAATACTGTTATTGAATGCCCCTCCCTCGTCGATGAAATATAATTCCTCGTCCCTAACGTAAACATCAATTTTTGCAACGGTATACCATTTATTTTTTCAGACTGAGGCTGGCAGAGAAGCTTGTCGTTCGTTTGGATGAATTTTATGCATGTTTCCGGGAGCAGGTGAATACAGAGATGCCGCGGTGGATGGACCCTGTGAACAGACACCACGTGGAAAAAGTGTCAATGACCGCTACACAGGTGCATGTACAACTCAAGGAGAAGGCAAAACAAAGGTACAGAACCCTCACTCGGTTTGACGTAGTTTCTAAATCGTTACATGAACTAATGATAATTGCTTGTGTATTATTACCAAACAACGACTTATAGAATACGCTAACATGGGAAGTAAAAGTAAGTAATTAACACAGAACACACGGCAGGGCGAATGTGTTAAATGAAAGTAAACATGGTCGACGAGGAATAAATATTACGCGACATGCTGTTCTCGAAATGTGTTATAGACAACACATCCACGTTCCCGGTTACGCAAGCGAATATAGCTAAATTGGGACCAATAGATGGGCTAACACTTTAAACATCAACATATCCATGTAAACTGAACTCCGTGACAAAATATACGTATTGCGCATGCACTGTCATCATATAAATATTAGGCAACTCCAATGCGCATGCGTGTTAAAATGTACGTGACGAATCAAAATTGAATTAGCATACTCTATTTTGAGAAGAAAATAACATCTTTTTCAACGTCCAATACTGAACTAAAAAACATCACAAATTATCAACGCGCGTCCAAATCACAACACCCAATGTGTATAACGATTCACATATCTCTAAATCAATTGCAAATCTTTTGAAATAGTTAATAAAAATACTTAAATAAAAAGTTATTTTCCATATATAGGTTCATTGATGTAGCAGATCTATTTCCACAAATGAATCCTGGTGGATCAGGAAGAATACTGAAACCAGAATTCCGCAATGTTCTCAATAGGATGCTGTTTTTCATGGAAGAGGAAGAGTTCGAGAAACTTTGGGCAAAGTAAGTACGCCCTCTAGTGTGAGACGTGACAAATTATTTTGTAAGAGAAGCATGCTAAGTGCGTACGATTTGTTCAGAATAAGAAACAACAAAGGTGAATGAAATTATCGACGTTGGTTATATGTCATATTCATTTGTTTTTCTTAGATACGACACTGAAGGCATTGGTGTTATTAACGGCGAAAAAATGTTAAACAAACTTGGGATAACGCTTCGTTCGGGTACAGCGAGTCCCACTAAGCAAAGACTGGATTCAGCAGACTCAACATGTAAGTTTACTACTAATAAATTAATATACCCAATGTTTGTCCATTTTGCAATGTTTTCTACTCCCGGGGGCCACCATAAGAACTTTTACATAAAAGGTTTGGAGCCACCAGCCTATTTTTCGAAAAAAATATTGGTATATTTTATTGAAAGGCGGCCATTGTTCCTATGGTAAAGATATCCAAATATGTTTCCTTTAAAAATAGACAAAAATGTTATTTCGTTTTAACATTGTTTTTCGTTCCCTCCCACCAAAATGTGATTTAGCACACACAACTGCATATTGCTTCATGTTATAGAAATATAGTTCTATAATAAACCTATCGAACATTGCCAAGTGATTAATCTAACTTTTTAAAAAAATTACAATTATTGCCAAAACACAGACATGCGCAGTACAATGCGTGGTATAATCGATTAGACTAAATTCGAAAAGTTGTGTTATTTGTTTGTTATTTGAGGTTTTTTGAGATCATTTCTTTAACGGCAGTTTCAACTTTACTTATTACTCGCCCAATTATGTTTTCTAGCTTGAATACATAGAGATAGTTTTCAAAAAACAATCAATATTATTTTCTAAACTTCTCTCTTGCTCTCCCACATTAAATTGCAATATGTGCAAATTAAATGTGAGAAAAGAAAAAAAAAACAATATGACTCGACAATGAGAACATCGTAATTTTCAATCCGCTTTATGTTACAGCGAGTCGTACGCCGAAAAAGCTGGAAGCTGAGCGTTCCAAATCTCTGGACGTAGAACTGTGGTTGAAAAATAAATTCAGGGAAGGATTTGCCAATATGAGATCGGAATTCAAGAAATATGACAAAGAGAAGACGGGAAAGGTTGGTAATAGCATACGTAGCTGTACTATGAGATTTGCGGGTTTCTTTGTGCACGTGACGTCCGATTACGTCAGCACATATAGGCTCGTTCGGTTCAGTTCGTGTCGTGGACGGTCAGAAACAAAAAGCCAAATGACTGCAACCTCTTCCAGAATTTGCAGTTTTCTAAGTCAAACATTTACCTGCCACGTACATGTAATGGTGTTGTAGATATATATTTAGAGGACAGTTTAATATTTATTTCACGACTGATCACGAACGAGCATGTACTACGTACTGCGACAATTCTATCACGTGTTCCCGAAACCCAATGTTCACTTTTCGTCTTGGCCGCGATAGATATTCGACGCGGCTCATCATACTTTTTATCTTGTTAAAGGTTAACAGCAGCGACTTCAGGAAAGTGGTTGATAAATTCGGACTCAAGTTAGATAATAAGCAAGTTGAAGATTTCTGTGCCCGCTGTGGCATAGACATAAAAGATGACATGATCTCTTATAAGGATTTCCTACAGAGGTTCCAAGATCGAAGCGAATCGGGCATGCCACATACCATTCTCTCCAATCCAAAACACAAGTAAGTCTACTCAATCATATATCCTTCAAACTTATTTCCCTGCTATTATTTTACACAGTTTTATGTGTTCTTTATAATATCTACGTTTATTTTGCGGGTTTATTTTGTGGAAGATCATGAAAAAGGAGTGAGAAATATATGTAAAATAAATTAGTTTGGCATTTCGAGTTCATTACTAAATTTCATGTACAGAAATACGTGATTTGCTCTTTTTTAACAAAACTGCGACATGGCTACTCCATAATGTATTTGCAACTAATTTATTTGACTTGATTTGCTATCTAGGTTCAACAAGAGCGAACGAAGTGCTAGTCCAAGTGCCGCGTCATCTTTAACGGCAGCAGAGGCCAAACTTATGGGCATGTTCCAAAGAGACTTCCTGTCGTTATTAGGAACCTTTCAGTAAGCATTGACATAAGTTCGAATTTTAATAACAAAATGTATTTCGGTATTACTATTTTGTGTAACGTAATTTTGACGTTTTTTCTTCTTTTTTTTCAGTAAAATTGACAAGCAGCATACGGACAGAATTACACAAGAAGAATTCCGAGCAGCCATTGAAAGCAGATTTGGAATTGAGATAAACGATAGCGAATTCGCCGACTTGATCGACCGTGTCCCCCTGGACGATGAGGGACGCGTGAAATATCCAGCATTCATGTCACAATTTGACACAACGTAAGTAAATATTTTTTGTGATGTCATTTCCGGTAGCGTTTTGTTATTGGATTTCGACACAATCACAGGGATTCATTCAGTCGAGTTAATGATTAATAAATCAATGTATTTGATGATTTGCTTTTTTGCACAGGGGCACAGCACCGAGTCTATTTGACGCCAAGTCAACAGTCACGACCAAAAAAGCGGATATCATGAAAATAGATCATGACAATGGAGTAGATGAGCTGATGGACTATGAGGAATACAAGAAAGGAAGATCAGTAAAAGAGGTGAGAGTTAGATCTAATGCGCACATTCTGTTTTCAGTGCCGACACCATAGCGGCCTGACGATGACTGAACTAAGAAGGGTACCGTCGTTTTGACATGTTTATCTGTTCTTATCTATTTACAGCTCACTAGGATAGTGAGGAGATTGCTCAAAAAGAACTACCAAGAAGTTGAAGCCAAATTTAACGATATGGATGATATCAACTCAAGGCGCCTAACACGGGAGTCTCTCCATGAGCTTTTGAAATCGTAAGTGCTTAGCGCCCTCTTTCGACGATAACACCCGGTGACATGCATTCAGACAATATCTCGTTGGACAACGTTTCGTCCAGCCAACAGAGCGAGTGTCTTTTTCTAGGCGTTACAATGGTCATTTTCCAAAATGGCCGAATGGTGGCCAGTTGCACCTTTGCGATTCTCAAATCTTTTTATTCGCCCAGGATGACCCAAATGTCATGAACTATATGAGGTGTATACGATCATTTACATGTTATTGACATTTTAACGTGACGTAACAGTGATTTCATTGCAAGGATTGTATTTTTTCATTTTCACTTAGAAACCGTTTGCAAATCTAGATCAGTTGTTGGTTATTTCAAATTTGTAAATGCTTGTTTACCACATTTGTCCTTCACAGATTTGACCTGAAACCGGAAGTTACTCATGGAGAAATCAGAAAATTATGGGACACACTAATAACCAATGCCAATGGAACGCTCGATTTCCTCCAGTTTGTCCGCCATTTTGGGTACTCTCTCAGATCCGCTGCCTTCCCCAACGCCAAATTAGTGCCACCGAGACGAGGCGACGCGGATTTCTTACTGCGGTCGCGCAAACTAAACTGCGCCGGTGATATGTTAGAAGATAACTTGCGTGCAAAGATTGACTACATGTGGGATGACTTAAGAAAGGAGTTTCTTGATTTAGACCAGTATGGGACTGGATTTGTCAGCAAAACCGAATTCAAAGATATTCTTCAAGAACTTTGTGTGCATCTTAACGAGTATGAACTGGAAATGCTTTGCAGAAAATTTGATACTAAGAACGACGGAAGGTGAGGAATATTTCATAATTGAATGCAAGAGCATTTCTCGCCCAAAGCAGTAACTTTTAGTTTTTCTGTAATTGTCAGCCTGAAATGTTTGCAGGAATTACTCTGAATTCACATTGTGTTTTGGACAGAGAATAATATGAATATTTTTTCAATGTTGTAGGATTTGCTTTGTCGAGTTCCTGAGACCATTTGCCCTTCGCAGAACGACCCATCGTGTAGGAAACAATATGGCTGGCGTGATGTCACACCCGCAAGCAGAAGTTCCGCTTGCATCTATCGTGGATGATCCACAGAAAGGGTTGAGTGGGTTGACAGCGAGACTTAGACAAAAGGTAAACAACATTATATATAAATTTAAATATTTCAAATTTGTTTGTTCAAATATTTCAAATTTTACAAAATTGGCAGTACAGTCAAAAGCGATACAGATGCGTAAGCAAGAATGCAACAAAATATTAATATTATATTTATCTATTTATTTTGTAGTTGGTTGGCGATTGGAGAAATTTACGTAGAGCTTTCAAGAAAATCGACTCGGACCGCTCAGGCTTTTTGACAGTCCCAGAATTTCGCAGTGTTCTTACGTTATGTAATATCATTATGAACGAAGAAGAGGTTTATCATGTGATGTCCACATTTGACGAAAATATGGATGGTCGCATCAACTACAACAAATTCATTAGTGAAACGTTCAAGTCAGATATGCCAGAAGCTCGATTTGCCTCAATATAAAAAGCAACGTTTTCATTTGAAACCAGTGCTTCTCCGTCGCATTAAATAGCGATATTTCCGGTAAACTACGTCACATCCGATGGCGCCTTTAAAATCTTCCCAAATATAGCACGCATAACAAAATGACTAGATAAGCAGTTTGTGTTACGCCAAATATGCATGCCATTTTGAATGGTCCATAGTATTAAACAACTTTCAGCATTTACCCTCGTTCCCGTGCTAGGAATTGACATTGTTTAGAATTCGTCACACTTTTTTCCGGGAACGAGGATGTCAGATGGCTAATGCCGTGTTTTATTTTACCAAGTTAGGATTTTATTTTTTCCCTCTGATTATTTTTGTGGTTTTGTTATTTTTGAAAAAAGAGTGTGTCGCAATATGTACAGTTTTATATAGTCTTGTTTGCATGTAGTTGAATGGTAACCAAAGTAATCTGGGTTAGTACATTTATGACTTTTCAAAGATTCCAGAATTCTCATATATTCCGTCCAATATTTCGTGAATGCTAGATAAATAATGTGAGATTTATTGCCACATGTTTTGTATACATTCATATGAACAGTATTCCGCCGCGCGAACTTAGGAAACTATCAGCATTTTTTTTACACTAGTTCTAAGTAACAAGAACTTGTTCAAACCGGATTAGACCGGTTTATGATTCGGATAATGCATGCTCTAGATCTAAATCGTCGTTTTCTTTATATATAGATATGGTGCAACTATGCTACTTATTATTATGTCATTGTGTTCATATGATCTATAAATACTTATCACCTAAATAAATTCACATTTTATGTAATATGTTTTGTTTGCATTACTCATTACTTCTGTAAATTGGGTTTGAAAGAAAGGGACAGTACACCTTTTATATAAACCGCCCTCAAGCGACGAATGTCTTCTATGACGTAAACACGAAGTCCGTATCAAGAAGCTTCGGTATCGTTTTGATCTTTAGTAGCTCATCTATGAAGATTTTTTTTGAGAGAGATTTTACTGTATTCTTGATTACGAACGACTACAACCAAAAAACATTTGTCGATTTGAGCGACATTGATTTCACCGTTTACGTCATTTTGACGTAATAGACGCGCTCAATCACAAGAGGACTCAGCTTATTGGAATATTATGTGTCGGTTTGTGTAATATGAGAAAAATCTTCCATCCAAACACAATCGTGGCAGAATATTGTTAGTGGTACACATGTACAAAAAGTCGTCCTCCCTAGCGACGAAACTATTCTGTAGCGTACCAGAAATCACGCAGATGATGTAAGCAATGTCTGTCGTATAAATATGATAAATAGTATAAATGTAAATCTTGAAAAAGTTGGTCACAGATCAAAATATAGACTGGGTCATCCATTCGCCTGTAGCGAAATCGACAATGGCCGTGGCGTGTGTCACTCTCAAAAGCATAACAACCAGATGAGTCGAACTCCGTCCTTGGAAAATAATTACGAGAATTACTTTTTTGTTGTCTCAAATAGTTTTTTTTTCGCTGATAGGTAAAATTAACTAAATTAAATCTACGTGAGCATGTATAATTGTAATTTGTATCATAATAATTATTTACTACCACTAAACACACTAACGGATGCCTCATAAAAAATAATGACGCCAACGTTAACATGGCAAACATGTATCTATTTTATAACGAGCTATTTCCGGTGATAACAATCTTCATACATATATCTCAATAAAAAAAGTACTGTGATCTAAATAGAATTTATTAACTGCTAATGTACTTGTACTGTTCATAGTACCCACACTCAACGTCAACATCATTATGTCATATTAATTTAATTAATCAAATTAGCCATGACCTACAGGGTCGCATACGAAATCCAAACTGGTGTATCCGGTAGCCAAGCAACTGGAGAACCCCAAAAGTAGCTCTCATGGAAGGCGTACGAAGGGTCGAAAACGAAATGCACCGCGTCGTGCGTTGAGTCCATGTGTGGCTTCGGTAACGCGGCCAACAACAGTGAAGATAGGTAACTTCAATGCGCAGTGGCGTGCGTAAATTGCCAAAATGATGAGTAAAAATTATTATTAATTATTTTATTGCTTTTATTTTCTATTTTTATTGTTTCCTTCGGATTAGCGAAAATATATAGCGGGAAACCTAAACGCAAAGCTTATTGGGAACGTACGTCGGATCGGAAACAAAAAGTGCTTCACACGTGTTCCCCGCTGTGGCATAGTATTTGCGCCCTTGACTGTCAGCATCAATACACGTCACAGTCATTTTAGTAATTGTGTTTCATTATTCGAAACCGTCGCCACATTGTATCGGGAAAAGAGCGCTATCCCCATTACCTATTATTGAAATTGAAAGCGGGGTTAATTTATGATGCATTTATGCTAGGTTTTGAACCATTAGGAGAAAAAAAAGACATTTTCGACGGAAACAAAAAAAGCGAAAAATAATTTTTATGAAGTAAGACTTTGTCAGAGCACGATCATTTGAGAGGAAACGATAATACATTGGTAACTAAATAAAAACCTAATATTGACCTACTCATCCCATCAAAAATAATGGTCGCTCCCTCATGCGCCCATATTGTACTCAATCTTGTTGAATGTTTACAACAATATGGTGTAATACTGTACGTAACTTTATTATTAGCAAGATTGTATTTGTCCTTGCAGCTAAAAGCGCCAATACTTACAAACCAGTGAATTAAAAACCTAGTGAATATCCAAATCCATATCAAATACGCTAAAAATAAACCTAGTGAAAATGTTTAGCAGCTGAAAAAAGTCGACTTACGGTGCAATGCGAATATTTTGATTGGACAGGCTACGAGTACCACATTGCCGACGTGGTGAAACCGAGGTTGAAAACGATATGCGGTGGTATAATGGCGTCATGCTCTGAAAAGATTAAACAACGTCAGCTCGCCGTTGATGGCGCAAGGAATGTATCTTTACCATATACAATGTACGCTGCAACACATTGCGACCTGATATAAAAAGAAAACATGACGGATAATTCTTTCATGTTTGTCGTATTCGCATGAGAATTTGTATTTGTGAAAATTAGGTAGTTTATGGAAACAAGCATGCACACCATAAAATGTAAATAAAAGAATGATGGTATCAATTTGTACAAATATTTCTAATTCGAAAAGTTTCTTTATTTTTTCTAGCATCACTACCTAAATAAATGATTAAAACTCAACGTGATATTTCCTCCAACTTAGTACTTTGATAAAATGTATGCTTGTATTTTTGATCATTTCAATATAGCTGAAAGATGAATGTATAAGACGGTAATGACATTCGAGCCAAAACAATCGTGATCACTCAGTCGTGATGTTTCTTTGTTTTTGTTTGGGTGCTTCAATTTTTGGAGAGAAGTTCAGTATTGGACACGAAATACACACAAATGGGACGAAATGTTGTGATTGGCTGAGAAGTGAGCTATATTGGAGAGGGCAAACATGAATTCAACGGCAGTTATGAAATAGGATCTATCATCTACATAAAGCACTTCATACAAAGTGGAAACGGGACATCGTCGTCATAAGAGACAGACGTTATGAAACGGGGCCATATTGGTCGGCACACGAGCAACGCGCGACTGTCGTGTGTAGGTCTTCAAACAGCCGGTTAGTACACGGCAAGCTGCTGGGGAACTAAAAAAAGCGGTAGAAATGGTGCAAATTATTCATATACCGTGATTGGCTGTTGATTTGTGTTTTACGTTGAGGGAAGTGCTTAAAAGTTGCCGGTCGGTCGACATGCCGTATTTGAGTATTGTGGTAAAATGCATGCAGTTCCAATTGAATCTAGACACGTGCACTGGGAAAACGGGAGTAAATATATTAATACTAGCTCACTCTACTGCACCTTTTATATTTTATCTCTACTGCTCAGTACGCTCAGCATGGGAACGGTGAAATTATTCGTCGAGATTGAATAACATCTTATGGTGCCTTAAGAGTCGGGATTTAACGAATGATTTGAAAATTCATAACAGATTACGGTGCCAATATGAATGGCCTATTTATTGACAATTCTAATAACAAAATAAGACGAGTAAAAAGACACTTCACCGCTGCGCAATACTATACGGTGATTCTACTGTTGATATCGCGGAATGTTATTAAAATAAAAAAGGGAGTAATGAGGTCGGTCGATAAATCGTCTGTTTGTTGGTTGGCGTTTCAAAGCTCCATCATGTTATAGACGCCATAGGATTAAAAGAACAAATATTATTTCCACTATCACATATATGTCATTATGGTCTGCGAGCAAAACAACACCATGGTGTTTATTTTATGTTATGTTATGCGCAAGCGTACTATGTTGTGTGTACGTACATGTAATTGTGTTAGTTGAACAAAATTGGTTGATAAACCCCACTTCCGTAAAAAGATCAACCTATAAATCCCCCACTATGTAGCAAATAAATTGCACGTATTTACACTGAACCAAAAGCAATAGGACATTAACATTTTACTAGTACTGGAGTCAGTCAGAAAAATATTATCGAACATGGACCGTCTCGTCCGCCGTTTACACTTGTCTACTAAACGTGTGTAAGTAATACTAGTATACGACATCCATGATAACACATTTTGGTTGTTTTTCTCAAACGGTAAACATTTAGGCTTGTGATGTGAACATGTTTCTCGATCTTTACGCATTTTTGTTGTTGGAACTATCCAGCGTATGGTACGAGTCTTCCGTGTAACCACACAATACGTGGCGTATCCCGGAGATGGTGCTGAATGTTGTCGGCAAAAACAAAAACAGAAAAAACGGGAAAGTGATGACAATGTTGTGAGAATCGTGAGAAGAAAGACTTCCTCCGTGCTGTGATGCAGAGAGCGCGTGGCGGATGTAAAACCGTGTCTGCTTGATTGAAGTGGGAGTCGTTGCTGTGATGGGCAGGCTTGATTGTTACATTGTTCGACGTACCGTGCATCATCCAAGTCGCGTGCAAGACTCCACCTGTCGCGACTCATTTGCATACACCAAGATGGCACCCTTAAACTGGGAATCGACCATTAACCATGACAAAATGCAATCACACAAACGTACGTTATGCGCCTTTAAATATCTCATCCCCAAAGCAGCTACGCTGAGACAGATGGTTCCGTTCGAATGATGAGTCCCGCGGCAACGGGAAAAAAATTGTTAATACGAGATAATATAATGAAAGATACACATTGATAATAAGACAAATTAACGCATGGGCGGTAACCGAGCGGAAAACTCCGGATATTGCGCTATATCAAATAATGAATATTTATTATTTCGTCGAAAATATTTTGTAAATAATTCTATCGCATATTCTACATTATTATTTTTTTTAGAATGTAAATTATTCAAATAAATTTTAGCAGAGGTTTGTCAGCATGTGCCGCAGAAACACTAGCGTGACACGTTTTAATTCGGCGAAAATCATTGATTCTCCTGAACTAGTTGATAAACAACTTATAAGCCCCGATGTGAGACTTCAACAGCGCCTCGCCGGAGATATATTTTAAGACGGGCCAATTTGAAGACGAAAATAATCATGAATGTTAATGAATATTAACGTTAGTATACCGAAAAACACGTAACTGTTACAATTAGAGACTAACTGGGGTCTAACTGTGTATTTTCTACCCCTTCTTCGAATGTTATTTAGTGGTACATGCGTGTGCCGCTTCATTATTTCCCGTCGCTTTTTTTTTTTTTTTTCCGCGTCTCATCGACCCTGTTTCAGATTGACAGCATTCATACACAATAAAATTCGCAAACACTTTTAAGGGGGATATATACATACATGTACGTGTATCCGTCTCCGAACTCACAAAAATGGTCTCGTGCGGTCACGTGACCATATTGACGACAGACAAAGTGCGGGTGTGCTCACGTGACCAAATGAATGGTCGCGTGATGAACGTGTGGATTACTCCCCGCGGACGAGCTTCCACGGTGCTCGCTAACAATGCCGTAATACAGCCATTTCAATTGCCAGCTTTTGTCCCCGCGGGCGGGAAAAAATATTTCGGACATTACCGCCATTGACGCAAGGTGTTGGCTTTTAACTGCGACTAACGAGCAAGCTGAGTACTTCGGGATCGTGATATCAGTACAGTTCTCAACACCATTGTTGCAACAGCTCATCGTTAACGCTCCCGTACACGGCGGACGTCAATAGTTGCAGCGAGTTCCCCACCCTAGTAATATTTAAGATGTCATCCCGAAAGAGAGAGCGAGGGGTAAGATTAAATTTAGTACAAATATTTTTTTCCGAAAACTTAATCAAGTTAAAAATTGTTATTTTTCTCTTTAATATTTGTTTTCCTTTTGTTCTATTGCTTCCGCAATGTATAGGAGCAGACTTCGCATAAAGTAATCGAGAAAAGACGAAGAGACCGAATCAACAACTGTCTATCCGAGTTGAGTCAAACAGTGCCGGCAGCTTTTGCAAAACAGGTAAAGCGTGAAACATTAAATAATCATCATTTTTTTTTTCTGTTTTTTTTTTTTTTTTTTTTTTTTTTTTTTTTTAAACTACGAATTATGATCTTGGTGCAGTGTACCCCCTGTAACCAAAGTTTATGATTCTGGATCAATATGCTTGCAATTCATTTGAATTCCCGTTTGATAGTAATTGACAAATACCTCAGAGTCACTGCAAATGAGAATATTGCTGTATTTGCTCAAGCTACGATTTATGCGCCAGCGCTGCGAAAACTGCTGTTAGTGTTTGTTTGGAGTGTGGGGACATACTGCGGGAGGAAATTTTAAATGTTTTTTTTTTTTTTTTTTTTTTTTTTTGGAAAAATTTGGCAATTTCATGGAAAAAGCCTGAGACAAAAATAAGAAGGAAAAAAATGAAAAATTAACACACTACTAATATATAGTGTGTTATTTGTACACTTACACAACTAAAGAACACAAAATACGTAAGCGGAATTCTGCGGAGGAAAATATGGTAAATACGGTGCAAGTGTGAGGTCGTCAAACGGCAAGCTGACACAGAATAAAAATTAATCTTTTCAAAGTTGTCCTCCAGTTTGATAAGAATGGAATCACTCAATTTTGTTGTAAAAATATAAATGATGCAAATTTATAGAGGATTAAAACGGATAATGACGTCATCAACAATGAAATTGATTTCGGTTCCTGCAGCGCGCCATGCCGTAGTGATGAGCTACGTGAAGACAAATTACGCATGCGTGATGACAATATTAAAAGACAAAGTCATTGTCTAATGACGATGATTATTTTGTTTGTTTCGGCGTTATTCTTATTTTATGTCTGGATATAATTCGAAGATGTTGGAAAACACGGAATATGTCTATGAAACAGACCAACATTGTATTAATTATTCCATTAATAATGCGTCAGAGGGTATGCACAATTGGATAAATTAAAGTTGCCACACTGAGTGTAAATATTTACTAAAACCCTCCGAAAAGTGTAAATTTTAGAGCGTGCGATTAATAAATGTCAAATTTTCCAGACATTTACGGCGGGGTCACAGTGATGTTAAATGGAACAGCGATCATTTAGTGGCATGATTTAATGTTTTAAAAAATTTTCCCTTAAAAATATATCCCAATGTTTAGAATGTTTCAGCTTCTTAGTCTGCACAGCAACAGTGTTCGCATTACTATTTGAGACAGCATCTAAAGCATTGCAATGGCAATGATTTTTATTGAAATTTAATTTCACTACTTTAATATTAACACCATATTTATTTGCTAGGTTTATTTGCGAGTGAAACAATCATGTTTCTTTTTTGTTTGCATTGTTTTATATTCATAGACACTAGTGGCTTCACACTAGTAAAATTTCGGTGCTCTCCCACGAATGGGACTTAATACAAACACTCAAATTTGGTATTTACAATCGACGCCGGAACCTCCGTGTAATCAACTATGAATAACATTTTACAAAACAGTAATCGGTTCGTTTATGTGGGAGTTATAGCTACTTTATTATAAGTGTTTGTGTATTTGCACTGCGACAGTTGGTGAATGATAACGCAACAAAACTTGTGTTTTATAATTGGCCTGAAAGTTCAAACTACTAGTAAAGTAACTTATAGAAAAATGCACGCTATATGTTGTTTGGTTGTTTATCTATGTCTTCTATCACTAAAATGCATATGTGACAAACAATAGTGATTTTCAAATCGACCCATCAGAACTGCAGCTCAATGGAAATACGACACCATGAATTAGATGCGCCGCGATGCCCCACTCCCCGCAGGTTTATACGATTAGGTAGAAGGCGAGAGATGAATGGGTTGCCTGAGTTATTGCCGTTCCCATGGCTTGATCCGACCATTTCCGAATGTGCCTACCGGCTGCAACGATTGACGCATGAATACACGGCCTTCTATTGTAATGCCGTTTGCCGCGAGCGCAGTACCACAGCCAGTAGTGCTATATACCTCACGTGTATTAATTAGGCTCCTCAACTTATTTATTTATTTATTTATTTATTTATTTATTTATTTATTTATTTATTTATTTATTTATTTATTTACTTATTTATTTATTATTTATTTATTTATTTATTTATTTATTTATTTATTTATTTATTTATTTATTTATTTATTTATTTATTTATTTATTTATTTATTTATTTATTTATTTATTTATTTATTTATTCATTTATTCAATCCAGACTACAACACATTATGAACCGTCGTAGTTAGATCACCTTTTTGTTTCCAAAAGTGGCTAAAATTCATTTTGATAAATATAAAGCAAAGCGAAATCATCATAATATATATAAACTGCACATGAAAGTACCACCCACCCCCCGCCACAACCACCACCACCACTACCACCACCACAATAGTGATATAAGTCGGATTTGGACTAAATGCCCCGTCTCACGGTACTGTTATGTTGTGGTAATCATGCATCATCACCAGCTACCCCTGATCAGCCTCTTATCGGCAGTTATTCGGCTCATTAAAACTGTTAGTGGTGCAGTAAACGGCGAAGGACACTAATAACACGCTAAATTTTCCAAAGCTTGCACGCGTGTGTTTGACGATGGCATCGGTTCGACTGAAAAGGTTCCTGGCTAATAAGATACAGTAACTATCCCATCAGTTATGCGCAAGTCATCAATCTTTAAATCGTCGATTGGCGGCTTTTTCTGTTGTCCGTGCTTTTCACATCACAGGGCCGACATCTTGAGAAGTCGCGACTTGTTCACGTGGTATGACCACGTTTCAGCTTACGTATATACGCAATGTTCAGCCTCTATGGAATGCCTAAGCGGATGATCGGCAACCATTGACAGCGTGTGAAAACGTATCACAGTGTGATGTAAAATTGAATTTGTGGAACTTCTTTACAATGTGCTGCTCCCCCAACTAATAAACCAATTACAATTATCATGAATATGCAACAGCAAAAAATTACACAGTAGATGATAAAATGGCTGGCAAGTAACGTGAACTAACCTGTATGTGTAGTACTTGTCAAAAAATCGCCTTGAATCAACTTGAATTTCTTTGACATGTCAAAATCAATGGTATACTATGAACGGCGAGCAGAGGAAGTTTACAAAAAGATCGCGTCCAATTCAACTTGACAAAGGGGTAGAGACAAATACATTATTGTCAGTCCACACTTTTTCTAACAGTCGCACGTTTTTCGTAACAATTGGCCAATCTGTTCGGGAATTTATGATGAAAAAAAGAAAATAAGCATGTAATATAAATGATTATTTATCGTTCCCCCAAAACAAGTAGCAAAATGATGTATCTACACAACACCGTTTTTAATCGCTCTTTTACACGTGATGGGTAAATGGTAGTACGTATAATCACGGTTACTATAGTAACCGTGGTATAATCGGGTCACAACGGGTTTGTTTAATGATGTTCGTGTTACATCCTGTATTGTTTGTTCACAGTGACTGCAACCCGTGAGCGCTACTGGGCCTTGAGTGCACCTCCGATTGTGACCAATCATGGCCCATCAAGCTGTGCGTAGCCGTCGTTGGTTTCTCTCTTTCTAAGGTCTATGGTTTCTCCGTTGTTATATCTACGTTCATATCATTTGCATATATGTATATAATTAGACACGTGACAGTTTTTTTGTTCGTACGGGAACGTATTTTTTCTATTATAACAACGGAAATTGCAATTACCGGGTGAATGGATTATTTGCGGTGTTTTGTGTGCAACGTCAGAGTATTGTCAAACTTTTTGACCGAAAACATCATCAAATCTTGGAATCGTGACCAAGTACTATTTTCTACAAACAACAAGAGTGTTAAATGTTTGATTTGCCTAAAGTTCGTTGGCGCTTATTTCACAATATAACTCAACAACTAAAAATTGAGCGTTCGGTGCAAATACTAGTACATATCCCAGAACGCCTAAATGTTAGTGAATATTATAATATTATTATCATTACGCACTCTAAAAATCGTGAGAGCGAAGAAAAAAATCTACGGAAACACTTGCGAGCGGTAAAAAGGGTCGCCCTATTACAAATATTTAAAAGCCATATGTCATCGTACGTTGCCAATCGTTACGAGTTTTCTATTTGGTATTGTATAACCGCAAATGATAGTGTCGAAAAAGGCAATGCGTTTTAAAGTAGTCGTGGCGTCGCGTTATGGTCGATATGAGTCCCATGCGACGTAATATACTGCACGTGTAACTACATAACACAAAATTTGAACGCGCACTACAGGCCGACTAGCAGCTTAATGTACTGTGTTGATGTGAAACGCCTCGCTATCGGCTGTCAAATTGTGGCGTAATCGTCTGATTGTCTTAGTTGTTTCATTAACAGGGGCACGTACATGTATATTTAATATTATAATAACAGAAAATAACTATTTAATTTTTGAAATGTATTTGGGTCGGATTGTATTACGGTAGCGAACAACGTCGTTATTTTATCCTTCTGGTTCGGGCTCAAATTCAAATTCGTGTAGCTGGCGACATAATGACAAATTTGATAAACGACTGTTTTTCTTTGCAGACGTCTGGCAAGTTAGAGAAAGCAGAAATCCTGGAAATGACTGTGGAGTACCTGAGGGCAATTCAACGCAGTGGACTTGCAGCTAAGTTTGAAAATGGTAAATAACTTTACATGTAAACTGCCCATGAGTGTCATTGCGTATTCACGCATGCGCTGTGATCATGTAAATTATGCATTTACAATGATTGATTGTACTCAGGTGGATTGCCTGTGAATAAATACAAGCATTTTGGTATGAAATAAGACTTTAAGAAAGACTACCTTTGTAGGATAACATTTTAGCCCGACTTATGGCCGCATAGTACGTACTAGTTATGCACACGTGTTGCGTGTACATGGTAGTATCAAATAGGTCAATAACAAGATTGAATAATAAAGTGACTTAAAAGACGCAGTTTTAAAGCTTGGCATCACGATCTGACGTCTGTTACTAATTCATTTTTTTTTTATTACAGCCGGTTACAATCCCGAGACCACATGGCAGGATTCCTGGCAGGAATTATCCGAATACTACCAAACAGGATACAACGACTGTATGAAGGAAATTGCACGTTATTTGACAGACATTGAAGGAATTGATCTCAACGATTCGAGGTGCGTTCGGATCATGTCGTACCTCCAGCAGCGCTTCCGATCCGAGCACCGTCCAATGCCGGGCAACGGAATAACAGCGCCCTCTTCGGCGTCGACAGGGTCTCTTCGGCTGGAAGGAGGCAGTTTTCCGTTACCGCATACATCAATTAGCCCTTCAGTGAAGCAGGAGCAATCTGCCGCGCAACGGGCCTCCCACCACCACCACCATCACCACCACCATCTTCCGAGTTTCCACAGATGTAACGCCCACCCGCACCACCACCTTTGTTCGTTTACGGCGTCCTCAACAAGTTCCAATCCCGATCAGAAAACATCGTCTCCAATATTCACTGCCTGCGGGGGAGTTAATATTGCCCCACAGTCTTGCAACGTTGCTATGCCAACACCTATAAAACCTACAAGTTCATTATATGCACACCCGTCCCATATTCCGTCTGCAATAAACAAACCGAATAGCGGTCTGTCGGCTTTCGCTTTCAATCATCACACTACTCGAATTAAACCTTTGACTTCTCATCTGCCGACATTGATGACGTCACACATGAACTCGTCAACGCCCTTAGCTGCTACGTCAACCAGTGCGATATTAACGCATTCACTCGTTGTGCCTTAAGATGAGTCGACGACTGAGTTTGCCGTTGGTGGCGTTCTCGTGGAACCCCGAGGGCCACACTTGGATGCTCACTGGCAGAACCAAGACGCATTTATACTCCTCGACCTCGAGATGTAAACGGGAAATGTGTCATCATTAGTAATGATATGGTTCATAAATGGTATATAAAAAGAAACGCAATCCGTCACGGGGTAACTAAGGAAACCTCAATTACTTGACGAAGGTTAAGTGACCTAAAATTTACACCTCGAACATGACTCCGCTGTGCTTCCATTTGCGGGGTATACGGCGTGTATAATTCTTCTAAAATGACAGCACGCATTGCATTGAATTACTCATGTTCCTCCTGTTACCATAGTGATATAAATGGACATTGTGATACTCTGCATGTAAAGATCAAGTACCATTGTCTACATTTGTATTTGGTGACTCAAAATAGTTGAGAGTTGCCGAAAGACGTTTTCCAATCAAATCCTATAAAATGATGATGATAGTTTTTCCATGTTAATCTATCATTTGTTACCGACTTTAACATTTGTAAAACAAAACTACTTATGTGTATACTTTTTTATTAAACAATAAACAAGTAAATAAATAAATAAAAGTAATTGTTGTTGTCCGAATACTAAACAGCATCGTCACAAATGTTGAAAATCCCCAAAATGAAGCTAATTAGAAAAGTTTACCCAGCTGCATGGGTACTCACGCGGCGCGGCATTAGTTCGCTATTTCAAAGCCCGTTTGCTTTTCGTTAAAATTACACTCACTTTGATTATTCTAGTATCATATTAAATACAACAGTTTGAAAAGCATGCCATATCTTGCAAAATTGGTTTGTCTGTTTTTAAAAAAAAAGATAGAATTGCATTACGCCTTGACAAAAAGTATAATTATGATGTGAAACACAATAAGCGCCCTCTAGCGAATAAGTGACGTAGAATTTACGCAAAAGTGGCTGGTAGTTATCCGCAGGAGGTGGTTGTCATTAAATTGAAATAAAAAGGGACATACTGGCACTGAAACTTGAATCGCACCCCTTTAGTCTCATGTTTACTTCAATGACGAACCAGACATTTCTGTTCACGACACGGAAGGATGTTGGACGCGTTCCGTTCGCTATTTATGTATTTCTGATCATACTCTTTGTTATTGGCAATTCTATTTTTCCTATTCATTTATTTATTCCAATAGTTTTTATTTTGGTGATTTTGTATTGTGTGATTGCCAGCCGTAATATTGGCACATGCAATTGTGTGTAGTAATGACATCAAATAAGATATATTGTCACGTGAGTTTGGGTTATTCAAACGAGCATAAACTTCGAAAATACTGGACGTACAAGTTAAAAAACCAAACTTTGGTAACATTTTATGAGCTTGCATTCAGATTCAATCTAATCCATGACAAAAAATAACTCTGAAAAAGTAAAAAACGAAATGAAAATTCCGTATAACTCTGCATGCGTTATTCTTTGAATACATACTCGAGATGTTGGTGTGGTTAAATTTGAGGATATGCAAATTAAAGCGCGGTTGTCATCGCGCAGCGCGTGTTCGAATTTCATGTAAATAAACAATGTATTTTACACGCGTAGTATACGTCGCTATGAGTCCCATACCGTACAGGAAGCGGCACGACGACTGCCACCCTTTAATAAACTCGTACAAAGGTAACGTACCATAATTTAAAACTCGCACCTAAACTCCCGGTTTGGGCAAAGCTTGGGACATAATTCTTTGTAAACAATATTTACATATTTATTTGACCATTTAAATCTGTGTAAAGCTATTTAAAACAGAGAATTATGGTAATTTGTTTTAAAAACTGAGGTGAAACTTCGTTAATAGTATGTGACCACTGCAACTCTGTTATTCGCAAACTAATAATAGAAAGAAGGGTAAAACATGGAACCATGAAACATGATAAATTCATTCGTTAATAATAATTTTAATTACCGACATTTCAATGATAGTCACAGTACTTGCATAGTTCACCGTCACTTCACATGGGTCAGGCTCATAGTCATACATGTAGCGAGGGTTTGGATCATGGCGAAAGTAACGCAGCACTTACAACTGTCGGCCGGTGTGATGTTCATGTCAGTGGACGTAGAAAAGTCACAGTATCCTTGTCGCTACGGGTAGCGGGTTACACGACTTGTATACAGTCGTTGTTCGTGTTTTATTTAATGGAAACTCTAAGTCGTTAAACGCGACAGTTTTCGTGAACACTGCACTTATTCAACAACGCTGCTAATAGATTAACAGAGAACTTCTTGTACCGTTCCATATTATTTTTATCCAGTAACTGAACTATTATTGAGGGATATCATTAATAAGACCCACTATGACTGACTATATCATACGACTGGTGTTATGGGATTGGTTACATAATGGAGACTCATAATTGGTCAAGACGAGGGAAGGTTGTGATTTTGATTTTCAACATTCTTCCCGGCCTCGATAATAAACAGAAAACTAGAAATCATAAAATTTCAAATAAATCATAAATCAAATCTTAATAAACTGAATGAAAACTCGGAATATGATATCCAGTCGGGATGATGTAAAACTCTCTTCCCCGCGTGCTTTTCTTGCCATCAGTACATTTAAAACACGATATCATATTCGCAATGGGATGATTGGAGCTATCCCTAAAATATTGAAAGAAAGATTGGGGGGGGGGGTAAACAGAAAGGCAAAAATCGCACAATTAGTTTATTTTGACCTACTTTATTAATATGCTGTGCCTTTAATATCACTTAAATCTGCCACACTAAGTTACGCATGTCATGACATACAATTGGTCTATAAAGGGCAAGAGTTCCTTTTGTACCCCCTATCCCTAATCCTAACTCTAACACTTTCTCCCAGTTACCCAATTCATTTCTATATGACCCCTCTAGATAACTATAGATGTCCTCGGAAGGGGCATGTACAATTAAATGGGGAGTGCTGGAGGGTAGGGGTAGGGGTAGGATTAGGGATGGGGGTACAAAAAGAACTCTTTCTCTATAAAGAATCACTGTTGTGAGTCTAGTGGGGTGGCAGTAACGGGGTAGATTTAGATGTCACCCTCCCTACCCCAGCCCCCATTTAAATACAACACTGTTTAGAAATCCTTAAATAAAAAAATTAAAGAGTTGTCACGCCATTTGTTTAAAACCAAATCGCCGAATGACCCTTCCCATCAGAAACTATATTTTGCGAAGTAGTGCCATGCCAGGAGGCAATGTATTCATCTTTACGATATCACTGGTATGAGAAATTTAGTATTCCTGTAATGTTTGTATTGTTTTATAATCACAGTTACTTGTCATAGATACATACACGCAAGCCACGTTCGAGCATTGAAAACGCTTTATAGAAAATGGAATGGGCATACGTCGAATTCACATGGTCATTTGATTAATAAATAATACGTGACACACCGAAAGAATTTGATAAATCAGATGATGGCAAAATTAGTATCATGCCGACTGATCTACGAGTATTAAAGCGGGGGAGTCGTGACCTGCGCATGCGTCAGATGGCCATAGCGTGTCCCTGTTTACAAGCAACCGTCTGTCCATGAGCCTTCGCGTTTTTAGCGTCGCCTGGGACTTAATTCCCGCGCGTGCGCAAGTGACGACCCTCCCGTTGCAATATTCATGTTAATATGCTAGGTAACGTCAATTAGTTTGTATAATATTATATTGAAAATAAGAAAATCAGAAATGATGAATAATTGTTTACAATGAGATATCAGGGCAACTGGTCAACAAATATTTGCGCGTAACTAATTTGTACTAATGGGGAAACGCACTATAATTTTCAATTTATCTAAAAGGGTTCGTTATATCTTTTTATATCTAAAGCGGAAGTCAATACTACAATGCTGAATTGTGCAGGTGGCTGTACTCCTAAATTTGAATATAATTCAACAAAAACTTGTTATGAAAGGATATGAGTAATTTTCCTACTACTAGTACATTGTACTTTATTAAAAATGCCCCCCCCCCATTGCGAGACACGCACACAGGAAGTAGTCTCTTTTGTCTGTGTCTTGTGTTTTTTTCATTAAAATTTAAATCCTGAAACACGTACATATTTGCTCCAGTATCGTGGCATTACGTACACGACTTTCTGTTTTGAAAGACAAAGAGGTGATCTGTTATGGTGGTACTATACAGTTTTATAATACAGAAAGAGCACGACTGTACATTATATTCATTGGTCAGTTCCCTTTATGTATCCCCATTATTAACAAAGACTACAATAGACTTGTTAAACATGTAAATCACTACCTGAAACTATGTTCACGAGAAACGGGATAATTTACTTTTTTTGGTATCAAAATATTGGTATTTTAACGTTGTTCTTTGTTTTTTGGTCGTTCACTGTAATTCTATTACATTCTTGTGTAAAATAAATCGCTAAATGAAGTATTCAATAGGTGCGATAACAAAATATTATATATGTAAACATGTTTTTGCTATTATGATGTTATACATAGCGTGGGGTAGCTAGCACACAATAAGTAGGCTCCATTTATTTAAAAAAAAGTGCAATGACCTGTATACTAATATACTAATATTTGAGTATTGACTTCCCTTATGATGAAGCAGCTTGATCAAAATACTTCAATGAGATCCGAATCATTTTAATTTTCAATAGGCATTATGTAGTAATACCATAACGTCCTCCATTTTTTTCTGTGTTTTTGTGAATATTTAATTAAATCGATATAAATAAATCTCATATAAATGAAAAGTTTGACTAGCTGCTCATTTGTTTCCTTTATACATGTTTTGTTGTCTGCGGACTTGGCAACAATGACGTCGACCATTGTCTGCGTTTATAGTGTATCACGTGACCGCTGTGTTGTTAGAGATGGAGTACATCCGGGAACTTCTGAATGCCAGCCGACATAGTTGATTGGGAAATTGTGCGACCACCGCAAATGCGCGGACACCTGGTCTTCTTATTCGAATTTATAGAAATATACGCGTATTTTCCCAGGATTTCAAATAACTCAGGATATTCACGCAGATATTTTTTTTGAATAATGGATTAGAAGATTGCTTCTCGACGCGACAAGATGGTAAAATAACAGGCTCGGTGTTGTTGATGTGTGGCGAAAAATCCAAGATGGCGACGTCTGGTTGTGGGGAGTAGCCACATTCGGCCAGTATTCGCAATGATCTGGCCGTTAACTTGCCGATTATAAGACTATATTTAGACAAACATTACCCATATGGTACAATATATACAGACTAGTGGTGCTTTCCATGGAAATAATGGAATTGTTTATCGAAACTTTAACTGGGACGGCGTTTGAACTTAGAGTATCGCCGTTCGAGACTATAATGTCTGTCAAGGCAAAAATTCAGCGTTTGGAAGGTGAGTTTTCAATCAGTCGAGTGACACCGTCATAAAACAGGAAACGACATTGCAGCCCTGAACTGCCCACACGTCCCCTTTTCACATAATCAATGTTGGTAAACAACTGAAATTCAAAGCCCGAGAGTTGTGATTGTGATATTTATAAGTGTGAGTTGTGACTCATCATTTCAAAGTTGTCGCCGTTTTGCTTGTGTGTCATTGCATTTATATTAGAGGTGATTTTGTTGCGTCGTCATTTTGACATGTAATTTTTAAGACGATTTTTCAATTTCGCAAAATCAATATTTTACTGACACACTGCTCATAATAAACAGTGCGAATGTTTACCCGTCTTTCGCAGCTGATCGTTGAAGCCCGTCCTTCATGATCAGCTGTATTCTAGTAATAAATACACGAGTTCCGTGGACTCAAGGTCACTTGACAACTATGCCTTTGTTTTCACTTTAGGGATCCGACTTATTATGGGTTCGGGTAGCATTTGTCGATAACAATAATTTATTTGACTTTTCAAAAGTGTGTGAACCACTGATGGAGATTACAACAGATGTAATAAGGGTCCCATGGTTACATTGAAACTAAATCAGCCGTACGATGTAGGTTGCTGTGACTGTGCCACCCATGGGTACAAAATAAAGGGTGTTAATGCACCTTCACACGTTTTAGGACCCTGTATTATTTCTGTTTTGATGATAGCAAGACTGTTAGAAATAGTCTGCTTAAATTACCAGAGGATTAATTGGTGGAAATTAGTTCTCTTTACAAGTAAATGCCCTCCATAGACTGGCCATTCTCAATGTTGTACTTTTGTAATTGATATGCCCTTGGATAGTGGTTTGGCACTAACTGAAAAAATCAATAGTGAGAAAGACAATAGATGTAGTGTTGTAACTCTGTATAGTACTTGACCTTAGATGTCAGGGACAATAAGACACAAATCAGACACACAAGTTCTTAGTCTTATCTTCAGTAGCCAAATCCAGTCTGGCATGCTGCCACTATAGTAGCGTTCACGCACAGCTCCTTAACAAGGGCTAAGACGTCAAATACCTTAGCCTGTGCTAAGAAAGCGTGCATGAACGTTTAGCATGGGCTACGAAATGCTAAGTACGGAATAAATCTGTCCTGTTTTTAAGACCCAGTCCAGACACTTAGCACGGGCTAACGAGGTGTGCGTGAACGCTTAGCCCGGGCTAAGTGCCAAAACGCCATTGTATTTAATATTCATTTGGACTATTTACTATTATATTCCTAATTATTCATCTTGGAATGCCATTTCCGACTTGTCAATCAACTCGAGCACATCTAGGGACATTGTTCTTAAGAAATAAATAAACTAATGATGAGACCATGCTCAAATCCTAGCCTGGTACTTGTGTAGCATGAATTTATGTGTACTTTGAGCTATAACTGCAACTAAACAGTATCCTTTCATTCTTTTATCCCTAATATCTACTCTCTATTCAAGATTAATGAACTTCTATCAGATTAATCTGGTTATGATGTTTGCGAAACACACACAATGTGATGCTTTGAAAATGTGTTTTGAAGTTTCCTGTAGTCCTCACAATGTGACACATGAAATAACAATTTAAATGCAGCTGAAACTATTGTACTCAATAAAACGATAACATTTTGTTTGAATGTCAGAATATGAATATTTTATGACCATACACTTATAAAATTGATGGTTGAATGTCAACAAACACAAAGCGTAAAACATCTAGTGATTCTTGGTGAAAAAACGGTTGCAGCGAGTCGCTGAAAAGCAGTCATGTATAAATCACTAACAAGACCAACTGAACACCAAGATTATGAACTCGTTAAAGATTTTCAATCAGATAAATGCAAACTTAGCTAACAAGTTAGCACAGGTTTGAACAGTTTTCAGCTAGGTAAAAATTACATTTGTATAATCAGTGTATTAAAAAAAATCCTAATTCTGTATGTGAAAAAACTTTCACCTCTAAACAGTCACAAATAGTTAACGCAAAGCAAGATTTAATCGCAGTCACTCTGCAACTGGTTTGTAAGTGTATTTGGGCTCTAAACTGCAGTGTTATGATCCACTTTTCACGTTAAATTTATTTCAAAGTAGGTACTCACAGTATATGTTAAATTTTCAGCACCTAATATGTTAAATGTGCTGGTAAGATTGTAAGATCCTTATAGTTTAACCAAGCACAATTTACCCCAGCATCACTTTCTAGTGAGAACATAGTAAGATACTATTGATGAATAAGGAATAATTATCGTAAAAGGTTTTGTAAAAAGTTATAGCCTTGCATGACTGGAATTAATTGTTCTGGAGACTCCCAATAATGATGGTGAAAACCAAAATCCAGTAAAAAATATCTGACAAGGCACTAAGGCAGTCAGTCAGGTGGGGCATATACAAATGTGTAGTCTTTGTGCTCTCCATGAATTTTAGTCTTTACATGTCAACAAAAATGTCATTAACTATAGCTTTGCAGGAAGGATGCACCTGCATTGGTGTTCTTGTATTAAGTTCCTACTTTAGTTTTTATCTGTCTTCTGTTCTATTGTCATCATGTTTAAATCAAAGAAAAGATTGAAAACTTAATATTTTCTACCTTTTGTCAATCTGCAGGTATTCCAATAGCACAGCAACATCTAATATGGCAGTCAACAGAGTTAGAAGATGATTATTGTCTAAGTGATTACAGGTATATTGATGCACTTCTATCCATGACTTAATTAATATTAGAATTTCTTGTATCCAGTAAAACTAAACTAGGCTAGTTAGACTAGTGTTACCACTCATCATAGTTTTGGTGTGTATTGCTGTAAGACTGTTTTAATAACGATAAAGGGTTTCTTTATGTTGAGATTCCCAAGTTGTTTTCATTTTCTTGACATGTTGTCACCAGAACTAATACTATCTCTATAATGGTTTGCTGCATTATTATAACAACTTCTCATTCTTCTCACTTGTGTCAATTTGTAGTATTACTGCTGGGAGCACATTGAGGTTAGTTCTAGCCATGCGAGGAGGACCAATAAACACCAGAAGAAGTAAGTAAACAAATTTAATGTTTTGTTATTTTTTTCGTGAAAAGAAATTAGGATATCATGTTTGCTTGAAGTGTGCATAATTATGTAAAGCACCATTTAATAAGTAGCCTGAATACTTTAAAGCATGTTTAAAAACCTACATGTAATTTTAGTGAATTTGACTCAATGCATTAATAAACAGAATCTTAATTTACAATCTCACTGTGAGAATATATTTTATTTTAAATTAGCGAAATTACAGATTAACTAAATTAGCTAAAATATCATGATTGCTAAAAGACATGTTTTACAGTAGATGATGAATTTTTAGTTCTCATTTATTCAAAAAGAATGTGTGCGACTTCTATTAGGGATGCAGCTTCTAATACAGATATACGGTAGTGGCAATTCTTGTATCTTGTTTTATTCTTGTATTTTCTATTTATTTATTATAACTTTAACAATTTCAAAATTGAACTTAACAACTTAACTTGTGTTCTATTCAAGTCCCAATGGAAGATCCTGCCATTCGTGAAATGGCAGAATATATGGAAGCCAACAAGGATGAAATCTGGGAAAAACTGCCAGGAAACAGACAAGTTACTCTGCTGGTTTTTCGAGAAGGCGACCAGTTAAATTTTTTTCGAGTGGTTGACCGAGGGGATGGAACTCTGACTCCACTGTCTGAATCACTAAGGTAAGTGTCAATTTAGTGTTAAACTCATTTTTGGTGAAGATGGTTAAATAGTTTCAAATTCTCTACATACTATCACCTTTTCTTATTGTATCAACTTTATTCAAAATAGCCACCAATAGCATACTTTGACTAGTTTTGTTTTTAATTTTGTTCATCATCAGAAAACATAAAATTCAAATTTAAAATGTAGAAAAAATATTTTAAGAATTATTGCAACAGTTTAAGTGTATATCCTATTCTGTGTGCCCTCTAACGGGACTGATTTTGAGTTTAAATGGAAACCACCAAAATGAGGTTTTATGTGACTGTATATTTAGGCACAAACAAAAATGTTGTGGTCACTGATTTCCGTCGTATTTAGACTTATTTTGTTTAAATATGAATTACAAATTCTTTATTTATAGCATGATGTTATTCGAGATCAATATATCAATGTAAGATTTTCTGCTGCATAAATGACACACCAATGAATTAGCACAACTAGTTACGTCACATCAAATCTTTGTCCATTAGTGGCATGTCATACCTGCTTAGAGAACACACTAATCTTTTTTTCTCCTCAACATTACTGACCAATTTTTTTTTTTTTCATTTGCAGCGGTGCTTCGATGTATAATATGTATGATGAAGAAGAAGAAGATCAGGAAGCGCCCTCACAAGAACAAGTTCAAGAAAATGATATCACAATGAATAAAATGAGGTTACTTAGAGAAAGAATGGAATCAATGTCTCTAACTAAAAAAGTGAGTCTAAATTTTTTTCTGTCATTATAGTTACAGTTTCTTTTGAAAATGTTTGGACCCAAGTACCCTAAAATTATAAAATAGTAAAAATTGAATGTACTTTTGAAATAATTTTCAACTATGATTATATTTCCTGTGGAAATCCCTTATAATGTTATCTTTTATTTTTAGAAGCAGCGGCATCCAAGGCCACCCTCTGCAGGTCGACCAAAGAGTATACATCGGCGGAGAAAGTACATTTCGTCCACTCATACCTCATCAGGGAAGACGTCTTTAATGCGAAATATTCCTCTGCCCCCTGTGGGGGTCGCACATCATCCAAGTGAGCACAGAGAAACCAGATCAATACCTCACCCGCATCCTCCTCAATATCCAAATCCAGCATTGCTTGACACTACGTCTGACTCTGATAGCAACAGTCCGGTACTCTCAGCTAAAAGGACTTTAGAGAGAACCAATAGTGGAAGTTTGAGATATGCAGCGAGTAGTCTCCAAGCACGGCAGCTGTCACTCAGTCCTCAGCTCTCCACCAGTAGCAAAAGAGCTGTAGATAGACTAGCTAGCGGTAGTAAACTAAGACACTCCCATACCACGCTAGATGGTTCAGTCAGTGGGACGTTGAAAATGCGTCCAAATACTTCATCTAAATTACAGACTTTAAGCCCGGGTAAAGTAAATGATGGGGTTGAGTCACATCGTAAAGCAGAAGCACGAACAATCACAGAAATGATCAACAAAGCCTCTAAAGAAGGCACTGTTACTAATTTAGTGAGGAGTACTACAAGAGATAATCTCACAGGTGAGTGTGCAAGGGGATGCTTTATTTCACGGATCACTTTTAGTTAGTGCATTTTAATGCAAATATTTGACTCAAGTTTCTGTACATAGGCATAGTAATTTGAATGAAAAGTTTTTGTTGTTCTTTGAACAGGGTCCATAGCATTGGGGAAATCATTTAAAATTCTTTGGATTTTTTTGAGTTCTGGAAAGGTTTTGAGTTGTCTTTAAATTACAGGAAAAATGAAAAAAAATCTTTGAAAAGTCTTTAAATTTCTTCATAGTTATTAATTCATTTTAGGAAGGCCCGTTTTCTCTAGGGAACTACCATATCCTCAGAACTTTGATGAGCTTTGGTGATGATGTTGGCCTGAATTAAAGGTCAAAATGTTTTGGAAAAATTTGGGAAAAGGTCTGGAAAAGTCTTGGAAATCATTGGTTCTTGGTGCTATGGACCTTGTTGAAAGTTGGCCATACTTTCTGCACTTTTTCTTGTTGATATAATCGATCTAATCCTTAAATCTGACCTTTTAACCTTTCGAATACCATATTTTCTATCATTTTTATACATTTTTCTTCAAGTTCAATTTTGGACAAGTTAGATTCAATTGCCCATTGATTTTTCCAACATATTGAAGAGTCATTCAAAGTGGTCTTTCTGAAAAAAAATATCGAGTACATGTCACAAAATAAAATTGTTACAGCTTCTGGTTTCTCCTTGCTTATATTTCTTCCTTTAACACATTTCATCATTTATCTATCAAAACATAAATTCCATAACTAAAGTAAGATTTATTTACGTTTAAGCTGTTAGCCTCATGTCAGAATTCTTCTGGTTGCAGCTCAGAGAAAGTTGTTTTTATTACAGTATTAGTGATGTTTCAAAATGGTTTTGGAGATCACTGTATTTAAACGACATCAGCAGTGTGTACAAGTATGATACTCTCAAGACTCTTAGTTTCAAGGCCAACATTGCTAAAAATACCTTATTGTCATTGTGAAGAATATCTATTTTGAAGGGCACCTGGGCAGTCAGGTGGGGCATCCGCTACAAAGGTCTTGTTGTCTTCTGTGAATTTCCAGCCATGTGTACGTCATCAGAAATTGTCAATAACTTGTGGGCTCACTGCTATGTAAGCGTCATCGTGATTACCAGGGTAATCTGCCTTGCTGAAAAGTCATGTCAGTGTTGTCAACCGATAGTAAAAAAACAGTTCTTCAGTATGTCCTTGACATATCAGGATGCTTTTGTGCTGGTGTATGTATATTTTGAAACAACTATTCTGTGTGGAAAAGATATTGTTAATCGTATTTTGTTTATCTCTGATTTCATGTAATGTACAGTTGTTTAATTATTTAATACCTTTTTGGGTTCATAGGTCATACCAGTGGGAAGTCGAGAGTCATGTCGGGCACAATATCACTTAGCCATACCCTTGCTAATACTAGTACTACTACTGAAAGAATAGGCACACCTGAATTTGACAGCAGAAAAGCACTTATAGTAAGTACATTCATATTTTATTCTTATAATAAACCACTGTCAAGAAATGCATACAAAATGTTAGCCAATTTGTTAACAAAGTATGTTGTTGATAATTTTTTTTTTTCTCGCTAAATATATATATAATTGCTTTAATTAACTTTTGTTTACAAATCACACATAAAATTGTGATTTTAATGAATTTCTACATTAAACATCACCTTTGAAATATCTTGCTACAGTTTTATTTCTTTAAATAATCAGAAATTAACAATTTTTGTCCTGGGTTGTCATTTTTAAAAAATGGTAACTCGACTGGACTACCTCCTACTACAGATGTGTCACTATAGCCGTATTTTAATGTGCATGTCTATTGGAGGTATGCTTCAAATAGAACAAATACAAAACTACAAATTCATCATAACATACTTATTTTGTCACACTCGCTTATGAGAAATAGATAATTTAACCAACTACATGTCGGATGTTTTCTGTATAAATGTGCTACAGCAGATGCAACTTATAAGTTTATATTGCTGTACAACATCATTCCAGTTAGCTTAAATTATTACAAGTAGGAAAAAGATGTTTATACGATTGGTCGATATTATTGCCATAATGTTTGTTGTGATCATCTTATGTTATCACATATACATCATAGCACAATAATGAAACAGTAAGGAGGAATGGATTGCCCTTTTAACCTGCTGGTTTGAGGACTCTGGAAAATACCATGAGATTGAACATGTGTCTTGTGGGGAGTTTAACCTCTGTTTTAGTATCAGTAAATCTATACATAATACTGACTAATGTTTATTATTTTCTCTAGTCTGCACACAATATACGCAGAAGGCTATCTGGCAGTAAAGATACCAGAAGAAGTAAGTCTATTTCAGCTCTCTCCATAGGTGATATTTTGTTCACTGCGGTCTTGCATATCGTGTGAAAGACACAGACGGAAGAACGTCTGCTGCAATATTCAAATGATTTGATTTTGAACTTGAATTTCTGTTTTTTATCTCAATGTCGATCTTTCAGATGGGAATATGTCCTTCAGATACTCTTACTTCATCAAAATTGACCATCATCAAATGTGTATAGCACAATATTAAACATGAAAACTCCCAAAAAATACTTTCGCGTTTCTGCAATGTTTTGGCCTCTGTTTGTCCTGTTTTAATGTTTAATTTCACGCATAACACAAGTTATCACAGTAAACAGAGAATATTTCCCACCTTTTGTGTTATTTCTACACTTAAAGAGTCTAGTGAATGAATTCAGTGTTCTCCCCAAGCTGTTAAGACCACCATGCTTGACTATTCAACAAAACAATAGCGGTTACACATACAGTACAATTCAAGCACAACATCACATAAAATAGCCTTGGTGTTCTAACACAATAGCTGTGTATTATGTTTGCACTGTACAACATGCTTGTATCATAGTTACAAAGGGTGGAAACTGTTAAAGAAAATAAATGATGTCAATGGCGGTTTCTTGAAATAACAGAAGTTTTGATGACTACCAGGGCTCACCTGATGCTACAGTATGATGTTGTGTTTGAGTTGTATTGGATATAGACTTGTACAGTAGCCTTCTCAGCACTTTTGTAGAAGACATGTACTCTTGTAACACATAGCTGTGTGATTGGAAGTCAGTTTAATGTCTGTGTTAAATTATTACATCTGATTGCTTGGTAGAAAATCTTCATCGTCATTTATTGAAGGAGGGATACCGATAACTAAGCCAATACACAACATGAATCATGATAAATTTTTTGCTTATAAATTGCAGCAGATAATTTTAAAATGTTAAGTCAGTAATACCACTATGACATTTTCATGTAATATGACACCATTTGCTACACAGTACAAATATGGACATAAGAGGAGGCAGAAATTTAGGCTTTGTTGTTTCACTATGACAGCAATTGTGAATTTTTGTGATTATCTAAGATCAAAATCTCATGCTGTAGACATATTTTCAACTGCAGTCAAAATTTTGACATCTTACATCAATGTACAATTGATTTGTCTGTACAATTGCTATGGTGCCTCTAGCTGCACATTACTGAATTAATTTTTGTACATTCTTTGTTTCAGTGTCCCCAGCCCACCGACTTCCTCCTGTTTCTAAGCCTTCATCATTAGGTACAGCTAAAAAGAAAAGTGGGAAAAAGTGCCTCTTTTGTAATAAGAAAACAGGTCTTGCTACAAGCTACACATGCAGGTAAGAGCAGTATGCAAAATCTGTTGCCTTTCATAATCATTGCGTGGGAACTAAAATCACCAAAATTATTATTGTTTATTATGAACAGTGATAATCATGTAATGAAAAACAAGACTGGATTGTGAATAATCTAGCGTGACAGCCAAGTTGAATTTTGGAAGTGTTATTCAGTGTGGCAACACATTCTCAATGATCCCCCAAATGTTGCCAGGACCATTCACAAAGAAGAACAGACAATGGCTTTTCAGATTTACTAGTAACCAAATTTCCTCCATGCTAACGTAACAATCCTTTATATTCTTCTGACTTCCTGTTCCAGATTGTCTTTAAGAATTCTGTCAGCTTTCTCATAATAGAACAGGTTTTGCACTACAATTTCATTATTGGCCAGTGATTTTATTTGCCAATATGTTCTTAAACAAGATGGAGGTCTTGTGATTTTTTCAGCACAGTGAAAAATTTTGTCTGACTGTATAAAAAAATGTTGAACTGTTTCAGTTTGATTTTAAATTTATGTAAATCTTTTACTTGCAGTCATAAAGTAAATATTATTAAGGTCAGCAGGTCTGTTGCCAACTATTGTCATCGTTAATACTTGTTCTTGTGGCTATGATAACTCAAGTAGTTTATACAAGCTATTACAATGACATATTGTGCTCTGAACTCTGAGTGAACCCAAGCTTCTTGTTAGTTGGTCATAATTATTACCAAATAATTCAATTTAGTGCTTTCTTGCTCATTGAATCCTAAAAAAGAGTGCACTTATATCTGGTTAATCACTTTTGTGTCATGATCTTATTATTTTTTGCTCTTACTGTATTAGGGCTATGAACGAAAAAGCAACTCAACTAGCAGTATTGTGCAATTTTAAAATAAGCAACCCAGCTAGCAGTATTGTGCAATTTTAAAATTATTTCAGTGACCATTTCCACTTAGTAGCACACATGTTTGCATAAGCTGCTGAGATGTTTCTATGGTCAAAATAAATAGTATACAGTGTATTGCATACAGTATTGACCAATTTACATAACAAAAGAATATGTTAATGACATAATGTTATTGTATTTATTGTTATGCTAAATTGACTCTATTGTTTATCCAAAATTTAACAATTTAACCCCTACTAGTAATCTCTAATGTCTTGGGGGAACCCTGGTATACACATCGCCTGCTAAAGACCTTGATGGATAGCTGAAATGAAAGGGAATTAATGGAGTCAAAAGGCAATGCAATAACGATTCAGAATAGAACAAATGTGATTTTTGGTTAATATGCACTTTCATTGCACTTGTGCTTCTAATAGAGCAAATAGGATCATGGTAGTAACATTGTTACACCCTATAACATTTCTATATTTTTTTTCTAGGTGCGGGAGCAATTTCTGTGCTACACATCGATATGCAGAATCCCATAATTGCGGCTACGATTACAAAGCTGCCGGTCGTAAACTACTGGAACAAAGCAATCCTGTAGTCAGTGCACCTAAGCTTCCAAAAATTTAAACAACAGTGAAGATACATCAAGAAATATCTTGAAAACCTTAGTATTTTGTACATTAAAATTGTAGATTTATTCGCCAAACAGTGTTTTTTTTTTAAATATTTCTCTTCATGGTTATTATCACACAGATTATTGCATACCTGTTTTACTCATCATAAATGTGTCTTGTTTTACTCACTCTCACCTCTTACAATGTAATAACGCATTTGTTGACATAACATTTCACAATGTGATTAATTTGTGAGAAGAATTATTTGACAAATTTACAGATGAAGTTTTTGTATAATTATTGTGTTTTTAGTTGATTAACTAATAACATTGCAGCCTGATTTCCATTGATGGAATGATTCTTTAGCCAATCATGTTACTGGCAAATGCTTGTAAAATCTGAGAAATTATCTATAGATATAACAAAATGGAATTAAAAATGTCAACTCATATTAAAACTGTACAGAAGAACTATCTTCTTCCAACTACTATATAAATGCCAAATATTACTTGAATTTCAATTGCAAGTAATTTTAATGAATGCTCATAATTAGTTGAGGGCATATATGCAATAGCCTGTGTGATCAACTACAGAACTCTACAGTGGATTTCAAAACAGTGTCTGAATTATTTCATAGCCAGTTATTAACTTTAGATTGCAAACTACATGTATTACAGCTACTACAAGGTACTTCATTACACTTGCTTTGATTGTGTACTAGATTGTATTACATATTGAATTTGATTTCCGTTCAGAAAAAAAACTGGTTATAGTGTACCACCTAAAACCTTTTCTGCTATGTTTATGAATGCTTATTTTCCATGAACCGATATAGTTGTCTCATCCTCATTACCACAGTGATAAATATTTTGTTATTTACCAAAGTTATTAACTGATAGTGAATTCAAACACTGTTGTGAAATCTACTGTCAAACATGTACAGCAATCAATACCATGCATTCTGAAAGGTTGGCATTGCCGAGTTTGACAGTCTTAGTTTCTGATCCACTTCTTGCTGAAAAAGCTTGAAATTGCTGAGAAAAATCTGATTTAAAAAGAAAACAAAAACATTTTCAGCGTGTCACTTCACTATAAGAGTACAGTGTCAGGAACACTCTTAATTAAGAAGCTATGTTTTTAAGCTTAAAATGTGTTTTACTGTCAACAAACTACTAACAAGTTTACTTTATTGGGTTCATAGTAATATAAATATTTATATTTGCATGTATGTTCCGTTAGATTTCTTGGAGTTAATTTTTTTTAACATCTTGATTGTTTGAAGTGCAATACAGATCCTGACCAATATTTGTCTTTTAAAAAGTAACTTTGATCATAAATTTACAAAACCACTGCTGATCAACTGACTTTAGATTCCCTCTTTCTTGTATTTGTTTTTCAGTCATTATCAGTTCTTGCTTTCCATGTCTGTTTCATTCCAGTTAAGATATTTGTGGCGTTGCTTGTTTACATGGTTTATTCGTGTAAAGTATGCGACAAAAGTACTTGGTATGTGTGTACAGAGAAATGTGGATTGTCATTGTACATGTGGGTAACACATGCTGGTCTGTGCGTGCGTGTGTCTGTTGTTTGAGCAATATACCCATATGTTGTACTGGTGTGTATATGAGCTTTCATTAGAAGTGGCTGTCTGTGTGTCTGTTCGTCTGTGTATAAATATGAGTGATTTCTCTCATTGTAATCCTGTACATACTTTAAATTTCTATTCCTCTTTCTTTATCAGAAGTATTTACAGAAATGCAAATACAGCATGTCTGTATGCATCTGTCTGTGCATATTTATATATATATATACATAGATATTTGTTCTGTTATATATCGGTTCGTTGTCTGTATGTGACGAAAGCGAGAGCTATACAATGTCTATCATTTGAACAATGCTTTCCTACCATTGTCAGATTTCATGCAATATACTAGTACCGGGTATATTGTCTATAACAAGTTTAAAACGCTTTGCTGTTATGAAAATATGCTGGTGCCAGTTATTTCTTGACTAACTCAGGCATAAAATAATGCTGTATGAGTAATCAAAGCCTGGAAACAAGTATTCAAAATAACATCTACACAGCATTCTTTTGAAAAGCAAATTAAAACGCACATACATATTGTAAACTCTTCAGCTTTCTGACAATCTATGCATTTTCTTAAAAATCTCTTTTCTGACTTTTGTCTTGGGGATGCAAATGAACTTGACACATTTATTTTGTTTATAATAAAATTAAAAAAAACATTTAGTGTGACAACATTGATCATGGAATTGATTTCTTGTAGAGGACCTTAATTTTAATGCAAATTTTTTAAATCATGAAATCGGTAAATATTTTGAAATTTATTTGATTCAGGTGGGAATATTCTTGTGGCCTTTATTTTCTGTAACCGTTACTTGTGAATATTTATTAGTTACCGGTAGTGTGAACTTTGAAATGTTGACTTCACGACTATTCTGCAAAAAATGAATATTCATGGTATCTTACAAACAAATTTTCATGACTCAAGTGATGAATATTCATTACTGTACTACATATCATGAATATTCATGACTATAATTCATTACTGTACTACAAATCATGAATATAATTCATTACTGTACTACAAATCATGAATATTCATGACTACAATTCATTACTGTACTACAAATCATGAATATTCATGACTACAATTCATTACTGTACTACATATCATGAATATTCATGACTATAATTCATTACTGTACTACAAATCATGAATATTCATGACTACAATTCATTACTGTACTACGAATCGTGAATATTCATGACTACAATTCCTTACTGTACTACAAATCATGAATATTCATGACTACAATTCATTACTGTACTACAAATCATGAATATGCATGAGTGCAAATAGTGAATATTCATGCCTGTCCACAAATGACTAATATTTAATAATCATACAGATGATGAATATTTATACAAATGATAATTATTTATGATTATCCTACAAATGATGAATATTCATGAGCTATGTTTGTGAGAATATCACATGTACTATATGCACATACACACCCATTATGAAACAGTGGTTCATCTATTATATAATCTTTCCCCAAGTTTTGTCATTCAATATTTGCAGGCACTTTAGTGGTTGAACAGCAGTTGGTATATTCATGTTTGTTTGATTATTTTCCAGCTTGTTAACTTATGGGTTCTTTTACTTGCTTAATGTCAATATTGTTTTTTCACATTGATTTTGTCTGGGAAGTGTTTGAATTGCTAAAAAGAGGAATGAAAAAAAAATCATGTACAAACTTTACAAAACAACTGTTTTTTTTCCCCAAGAAATAAAATTCATGGGCTGTTTTATATAACAATTCCTGCTTTCCTGTTCTTTATTTACCTGTACATGCCATAGTACATGGTCCCACTTATACAACTTATTTGAAGTAAACTCTTCAATATATGCATGTCAATATGATTGAGGAAGTTTCCATGTAATCAAAACTACATATACAAGAGTTGAATGAACTGTTTTCAGGACTAAGTCGAAAATACCACTTTTTACTAAAAATGTCAAAAATAGAGATTAACAGATATAATTATTATCCCGATATAAACAAATCTACCCAAGGTACAATATACCAACTATCAAAGCAAAAAAGTGCAGACATTGACGAACAAATCAATAATTAAATAGATCCACTTGACAGCAGAGTTAAAAATGATCTTCTTGCTAACTAGATACCAGTTTAAAACAAATCTGAGAGAGGTCTACCCAAGATACCTATATGTGTAATATCAAAGCAATCAGACTTGTAGTCTTTAACAAGAAGTCGAAAATATCACTTTTTATCAAAAATGACAAAAATATTCATCAAAATTAGAAAATTGAAGATATCACGAAATGAACAAATCTGAGAGAGGTCTGCCCAAGATGCATATACACCAAGTATCATAGCAATAGGAATTGTAATTTCCAAGAAGAAGTTGAAAAAGGAAAATGTTGACACGAACGACGACGGACAATCACAATCCGCTCGGCAGCAGAGCTAAATCAAAGAAAGCTTAGAAAGAACTCCTGTGTGCTGAGAGTATTGAACACATTAAAATTCATTCAAAATTTAAGATTTGCTTTTCAAACAAGAAGTTTGGCAACTAATTTTTGTCTGCTGTTTGAGATGCATAACATGAAAAAAATGATTCACATTATCAAAATTTGTAATACATACAGAAAATACATTTGATTTTTCATCCATGTTTTTTAGTCTAATTAGTTCCAGAGCACCTCTGCGATAAATTCAATTTAAATCTGATTTTTTTAGATATCAGAAATCGGCTAATAATAGATAATCAATATGCATGTTTATTAACATTAAACTAATCACGTTTGTGGATTACCTCAATGAACCAAATGAATTATTATACAACTTAAGCAATTATTATGCATAGATATAGGTCTGTATATTGTTTCAGGGTGCACATGTACAAAGTTTCATTATAATGTGATGATTAATCCTAACTAAATTAGTGGGAAGCTGAAAAGTTTCTTTGAAATGTGATTAATACCAAAAATTATGATTTATTATGCAAATTAGGTAATTAAGGTAGAGATGCAGTTTACCTGACAGGTATATTAATTAACTAATT